CAGCAGGAAGTGTTATTTGCATTAGTTAAATAGCAGGTTGCCAGTTTTTTGTCATTTTGATTGCTCTGGAATAAAAGATAGACACGGAGCTTGACTTGGCAGGGATTTAACTTAACTTGTTGCTTTTTAGCTCAAAAGAGGAAAATAAAGGACTCTAGAGATGTCTTTGTGGTAGCATTTTGCTGTTCCAGTGAGGTCATGGAGAAGCTCCTACAGTACTGCAGTGTGCTGCTCTCGGCTGTTTTCATTTTCCACTGGGAAGATGCAACTGTGTGAGACCGTAGCACGTAGCCCTCGGAGAGCAGAGGTGGAAGGACAAGAGAAGCTACAGATACCCTGATCAAAGCTTGACATGATTAGGGCTTTTGTGTCTAATCTATTGCAGAAGAGTTAATTTTTTCAGAAGTACCAGTCCGTCATTTTGTCTTGTGGCTTTGGCAGATAGGAATGCATTTCTGAAGGGCTGTACATCAATCCACTTAATTTTGATGGCTGCTTTCTTGCAGGAGCGTCAGAAACAGTTGGAAAGCCTTGGCATCTCTCTTCAGTCTTCTGGAATAAAAGTTGGGGATAATAAGTGCTTCTTGGTTAATTTGAATGCAGATCCAGCTCTCAATGAACTTCTGGTATACTATTTAAAGGTAAAAATAAATCTTCATATACTTATATATATATATAGAGAGAGAATTAGACTCCAATGCCATTGGCAGAGGTGCATTTAGAAAATTTTATTAAAGCTGCACATCTAAAGCATTCTCCAATATTCACTGTTTCATTAAAAATGAGTACAACCTTTTTTTCAAATATACTTCATAGCTGAGGAAGGTTTGGGTATTTTATGGTTTTGATTTGCTTTTTTGAAAGAAATTTAGAAGTGTTCTCTTTAAGAAACTGCCTCCTGGTTGGGGGAGATTGTTGGTTTGGTTTTTTTAATGACAACATTCACAGTGTTTTACTCAGAAAATTGTTTTATGTACAGATTGGGCATATCAGTAATCATCTTGCTTCTACATGTGTAGTCCAAATTCTAGGTGCTGTCTGCAGTTTATAAAACGTATTTTTATTCCTCTACGTGGAACTTGCCAGGAGTGAAAATGAAGTTCTTTTCTGCCTTAGCACTTCTGTTGATATGCAGTCCCTGTATTGTTGTTAAAAATAAAACATGTGATGTGACTTTTGGACTCTGCGCTGAAACATTTGGGCAGTTTATTCTGCTTTAACAAACTGTAGATGTGATCTGGAGCCAGAACCAGAAATTAAGTGCACTCATTTTTAAGTCACATTTTAGAGTACAAGTTCTAACATTTCATCAGTGTAAGAACATCAGCAGTCTGAGCTTTGCACTGTATGTTTCTTTTCTCTTTGAAGCGGTCTGTAGTAACTCTCAAAACAGCCCTAAAATTAGCAATTGGGCTGAAAGATAGTTTTGGTTTAGTCGGTCTTAGGATATACGTGATCCTGTTTGATATCAGTCATTGTTGCTCTGTGGTGCCTTCATGAAAGCAAAGGAAATAACTTTTTTCAGTGTTGTATCTGCTAAATAACATTAAAGAGGACAAAAGAGCTGAGGTTTTGGGAGAAGAATTGAATCCTTTCCAGACACCTTGCATGTAGGTGTCCAGTGTATGACTCAAGCTGCTAAATCAGCCTCGGCACTGACAAGTGTTGGAGCAGCGCCGGCTTCTGTGGTGTTCATTGGGAACACATGACGGGAGTGCACTGAAGCCAAAGCCTGATAAGAAAACAGGCCTTGGCCCATCAGCACCAGCAGAAAAGTCTCAGGTGGTGCTGCGCTGCTTTCCTTTTCTAGAGAAAACCCCTTTGCATGGGGTAGGCTTTGTGTGATTCAGTTAGTCTTTAATTTTTTATTTTTTTTTTAATAACACAGATTTGTATCGTTGGTTGAGAATTCTGGGGTTGAAATCCCTGTGCTTTTAAATTCTGCTGATACAATGACTTTGACCTGTCTTGCCTGAAATCCTAACGCTGCTGAGCTGCATATGTACTAAATCTTAAAAATACTGAAAAGCGACTTGACTTATCTAAGCTATTGTATCTGTTCCTCAAAAATTGCTTAGAGATACCTAAAAATTAAATGGATGGGTTGGGGCATGTGTAGCATGATCCTTCATCCGCCAAATCCTTCATGCCTCGAGTGCTTCAGGAATTTCCTAAGCTGTTGGAGGATCTAGATAGAACCAGCATAGTAGCTGTGGATCTCACCACTGTGAACCTTGCGTATTTCTTCTTTGAACTCCTTTATTTTTTACTTTTGGCTTCTACAACATCCCAAGGCACTGACTTCTGCAATTAAATTATAGAAACTTCTTCATCATAGTATTTAACTGTAGTCTGTAAACCTTCCTGAGTGCTTGCTACTTATTACTGTTAGCCAAAGCAAGGATTTGCTTGCTTTGTTTCATTCTTCTTTTTCCCCTCTAAGTGAAGGATTGAGCAGCTTTCAAATTTTGGAACTAGATAAAAAGATACATCCAGAAGAAGAATGGATGAATTAGAACTAGTGAACTTTTGCAACCCATTGCTAACATCTGAATTAATTTTCCCCAGGAGCACACGTTAATAGGCTCAGACAACTCTCAAGATATCCAGCTGTGTGGAATGGGAATTCTTCCTGAACACTGCATTATAGACATCACCCCAGAAGGACAGGTTATGTTAACACCTAAAAAAAATACTAGGTAAAGGAATGAAATACAGCTCCTGTTGTATAATAACTGTAGTTTTATCAAGTATTTTGTAACTACTGGTGCAAAAAGATAATTAGAAAACAAACATTTCTTTCTATTTTGAAGTAAGAAAATTCTACTTCTTGTATCTTGTTTTCACATTTTGTTGTCTTCTAGCCCTCTGTCAACTCATCTTTCATTTCTGAGATTTCTCTCAGTGATGGTGTTGTAAGTTCTCAAAAAGAGGATGAGCAAATTGCATGTGCTTTCAGCAATGAGATACTGATTTGCAGCTGTGTAGCTGTAACTCTGTCAAAATTTGAATTAATTTTCTAGGAAATCTGTTGATATGCAAAGAGCTGCTGAAGCATTTGTTGCTTTATTTGATTAAGTAGTAGTACTTGAAAGGCAGATGGTATATTCAAATTGATCACAAAATGGCATGCATTGTCAGCATCTCCAGTAATTTATTGTTAGGTACATAAAATTCAGCAATTTCACATTTACCCTCATTTGTAATCGATCCTACTGTCAGCAGGACATAGGGACTGTATGACATCCTGAGTTTCCCTTCAAATTTGAGTTATTGTATGGTCATATTTTCAAGCTTAATCTGACTCTGAAATAAAAATAGTTTCTGATTATTCTTAGTTTATTGTCTTTAAGCCATTTATATAGCAAAGATCTCTGATGTCTTACTCAAACATTACTATTTTGTGTCTGTATTCCAAAGTACTATGAAAAGTGTTTATTTCTAGTGACATTATCTTTTCTCAGGCCCTTCATTTTTAGGCTTTAATTGCACTCCCCAGACATAGGTGTCATATCTATCGAAAAACACTGAACTCTGTAAGCTTGAGTAGTCAAAAGAAACTGTTTTTGAGGATTCTATGAAATAGCACAGGGTAGATCAGTGACATTTCTGGGGAGATTTTGCCTGTTTTCAATCCATAAACCTGTTCTCCTTCCCTAAATGTTTACAATAAAGAAAGTAGTAGTGGGGGAAAAAAAAAAAGCCTTCTATAGATGTGTTTGCTTTAGATTTTTGCCTTTTCACAGGACATTCGTAAATGGTTCTGCTGTCATGTGTCCTATCCAGCTACATCATGGAGACAGAATACTGTGGGGAAACAACCACTTCTTCAGGTACAAAAGATATTAAAGAAATTGTAAGTTTGCTCCAACTTTCATCTTAAGGTTTCATCTTAAGGTATAAGGAAAGAAGTTAGTGGAGCATTCAAGCTGCAGGAGGAGGTGATTTCTTTTTCATTGGGACTATAATCATAGAATGGTTTGGGTTGGAAGGGACACTAAATCTCATCTAGTTCCAACCCCCTGCCATGGGCAGGGACACCTTCCACTAAACCAGGTTGCTTCAAGCCCCGTCCAGCCTGGCCTTGAACACTGCCAGGGATGGGGCAGTCACAGCTTCCCTGGGCACCCTGTGCCAGGGCCTCAGCACCCTCACAGGGAAGAACTTCTTCCTAAGATCTCATCTAAATCTCCCCTCTGTCAGTATAAAGCCACTCCCCCTTGTCCTAGCACTACTCAGCCTTGTAAAAAGACTCTCTCCTGCTTTCTTGTATAAAGGCAGTGCTGATGAATGACTGTTCTTCAATGCTAAATAACAACTGTGCTTGATTTCAATTTTGGAGTACTAGGTTGACTTAACTTTTTGTATTTTCAAAGTGGCTGTAATCTTGCTGATGAGGATCTTGCTGTAGTTACTAGTATTATTATCTCACTGAAGAGATTTAATTTTTTAGCTGGTGTCTTGAAGGTGGCTCAGTACCACATTAATACTAAGTACTTTCTCCTCCACAGTGAAAATACTACACCCAAGCTTTGACTTGGATAGGTTGCCTTTTGGATTTTGCAGATAAGGTATTAGATTGTTGACCTATGTGATCTGGGTCTTACGAATTCACTGTGTTCCGACTTCCCTGGAGTTCCGTCTCCAGCCATACCTACACCCATACTGTATCAGACAGGATCACTGGTAGGAGTTTTCAGTGAAAGACCCGTTTCTTGAAGCCCTCTGTGGTGGGTGTGGAATACCTTAAAGATCAGTGGGTTCAAATGATAATCTAAAACTTAATTGGTTTCTTTTATGCTTCGAAGAAGAATCTGTGTAAAAAGAAAGATATAATCTCATTATTGCCTCTAAATTATTTGGATATGTGACAACTGAAAAAATTAATGGTTATCTAAACTATATGATTAGTAATATCAGGTATTCTCTATTATTAGAGCATAGAATGGTTTAGTTTGCCTTGAACTCCCCTGTTTACGCTGAGGAAAACTACACTCATAGTAGATAAGCAAATTTTGAAAGGGAAAAACATACGGATTTGGATAACATACTTAATTTAAATAGTCTTTGAAAGCAACCATTTGTTTCAGAGTTGAGCAATTAATAGTTCTTTAAAAATTTTCCTGTTATTTAAAGGCTGAATTTGCCAAAGAAGAAAAAGAAGGCAGATCATGAGGATGAAGAGCGAGACAACTCTATGAAGTGCAGTAATAGTGTTGAACAGTTGGACGTAGACGGGGACAATTCCAGTGAAGTGTCTAGTGAGATTAATTTCAGCTATGAGTATGCCCAGATGGAAGTCACTATGAAGGCACTTGGTAGCAATGGTAAGAAGCCACAGAAATTACTGGAAGTATGTACAGAATACGAGGTTACATCTTCAGGGCTCTTAACCACAGACTTTTTCCCTCATAACTTCCTACTGGAGAATTTTTCTTGTGAATGACTCATCATAGCCATTTTTGCAATTGAAGGGGGAAAACAACATTGCAGACTGTTTGCTTTGGCAGTTCTTGTTGAGGGAAAAGCCAAAACTGGAATACTGGTGGAATTGCTGCCTGCAATCAAAGTATTTTCACTTTGTTGTTGTTGATTTTTCTTGTGTTATGTCTCACTCAGACATTAACTGCCTTGATTTCTGTGTCTGAAATCATGTTGTTTAGTTTTTGTGGTCTTATGTAGCTGTCCCAGAATGGCACTATTTTGGGAAACAGGAAGAAGTTTTTTCAGCTTGGTCTTTCGCTTTTCTCAATTCTCTTAAATCATCCATCCAATCTGTTCTGTAGATGTTTAGTTTGCTCAACACTTCAGCAACCTTTCTGTAATATGCATTACAACAAAAACATAATCTCTTCTTCCTTTTATATGATGACTATGTTTACCGTCTAGGATGTTCCTCACCATGAATTTCAGTGGCTACCACAGGCCCTAACATGGATAACTGCACATATAGAATGGGGAAGGGAAGTATCAAAACATAATTTCCACCTTGCCTGAAATCATACAGTATATCTGTAGCAGAACATGGGAAAGATCTCATATTTCAGAGTCCCCCGTCTCTCCCGTTTTCATTACATGACTGTTTCAATTTGAATTTTATGGTTATCAAGTATTTAACCCCCAGAAGTACTAGCTTCTTTATTTTCAACATCTGCTTAGATCCAATGCAGTCAATCTTGCAAAGCCTGGAGCAGCAACATGAAGAGGAGAAGAGGTCTGCGCTTGAACGACAGAGACTGATGTATGAACATGAACTGGAGCAGTTACGGAGGCGGTTGTCACCAGAGAAGCAGCATTTCCGCAGCATGGACAGGTTCTCCTTTCACTCCCCCAGCGCCCAGCAGCGCTTACGCCAGTGGGCAGAGGAGAGGTGAGTAATCAAATCCGACCCTGAGGAGTGTTCATTTAAAGTTCTTTAGTGCTAGTGAATTTTTCAGGATTTAATTGCACATCTCTGCAGAATTTCTGAGAGGACTCCTGTGGGGTGTTGGGGAGGACAGGTCGAAAATATTAGTCTAAGAACAATGAGACCTATAATGCTAGAAAAGGTGAGAAAGAATGAGTGCCTGCTTTAGTGTTAAGGAGTAACTCTGTTCTGATCAGCAATGAATTTGTCTATAGAGGAGGTGAGTGGAAGACATTTTGGGACTCCCATGTGAGTTTGTTGTTCTGTGGATTATGACTCAGCTGCTGGAAGGTTGTTTTTCCTCTTGACTCCCATCCATCTGTCTAAGCTGGACAGGTCTTGGCAACTAGAACAGTGCAGAAAGAAAAGGGAGTAAGAGGTTGATACAAAGAATTTTGATCCAGAACAATGCAAAAAGTGTTCAGTAACCACAGAGAAGCCACCGTCCTCTTTGCCTTTTTCTAGACAATTGCACTGAGATTATTTACTTCAGCCTCTAATGATCTTTTCCAGTATTACTGTCAAAAAGAGCAGCTGCAGGAGGAAGATGAAGCTTACCCAAAAACAATGAGTGTGATTGTGTGATTAAAAACATTGTAATGATAAAATACAAATCTAATTTATATGGATAGAGAAGCAATTTTTGAAATATTTTTGAAAATATTTGAGACAGCCTATCAAGGTGTTAGTTGTGTGACTGGAATATTTGGCAGTACCAGATTCCTGTATTGCACAGTTGGCTTGCTCTCACGCTTGCCAGGAAAGCCATTGAGCAAGTTGGTCATGGTGTCTGAATAAACTTTTCTCTGTAAATGGAACATCCACATCTGTGCTGGGGAAACTCCGGAATAAGTCACACAAGAGCTAACTGTTCAGCAGATGCATGGAGAAGTCTCCAGAGCCATAAGGTTCATAATGCTAAACTCATACATATAATCTCATTTGGTTGTTTGTTTTTTTCCCCTCAGAAGAAATGTAATTTAATTCACCTGATTTTTATGTTAAAAATCAGAGAATGGTTTGGTTTGGAAGGGACCTTAAAGGTCATACAGTTCCAACCCCCTTGCCATAGGCTTCTGTAGAGTAAGAATCCCATTGAATTAGTCATGTGCACTTGTTAGTCTTTTTAAAGGTTTCAGTAGATGTTTTGGAAAAACATTTCTGTGTTACAAAGTGGATCCTACCAAGCCATGTATTTGTATATTGTCTGCTCCTCAGATGAGAAAAAGCCCATGCTGGTATCATAGAATCATAGAATGGTTTGGGTTGGAAGGGACTTTAAAGACTAACCCCCCCCCCCCCCCTGCCACAGACAGGGACAGCTTCCACTAGACCAGGTTGCTCAAAGCCCCGTCCAGCCTGGCCTTGAACACTGCCAGGGATGGGGCAGCCACAGCTTCTCTGGGCAACCTGTGCCAGGGCCTCACTACCCTCACAGGGAAAATCTTCCTAAAATCTCATCTCAATCTCCCCTCTTGTCAGTTTAAAGCCATTCCCCCTTGTCCTGTCCCTACAGGCCCTTGTCAGAAGCCTCTCTCCAGCTTTCTTGTCAGCCCCTTTAGGCACTGGAAGCTGCTCTAAGGCCTCCCCGGAGCCTTCTGTTCTCCAGGCTGAACAAGCCCAGCTCTCTCAGCCTGTCTCTGTAGGAGAGGTGCTCCAGCCCTCGGAGCATCTTTGTGGCCTCCTCTGGACTCGCTCAATGAGCCAAAAGACTTTTCAGTTGACTAAGGATCCTCACTGCCCTAAGGATCTTGCACTCCACCATTTCAGGGTCACTGCAGCCAAGATTGCCCTTGAGCTTTGCATTCCTCACCAGCACCTCCTTGTTGTCAAGAACAAGGCCCTTGTTCTCTCCTTGTTGCTTCCTTTATAACTCAGAGAAGGAAGTTAACATCAACTTTCTAGTATTTAAGGAACCTCCTGGATTGCGTGTGCCCTACTTTGTTGCCCTACAACAGATAGCAGGAGGACCAGGGCCTGTGACTGTGAGGCAGTTCCTATCTGTCTATAGGGTGCCTCACCCACTCGGTCTTCCTGGTCGGATGTCCTGTAGCAGACCCCCCACTGTAATGTCATCTGTCCCTGCCCTCCCTTTAACCCATAACCTCTCAGTCGGCTCCTCATCCATCCCAGGCATTGCTTCATGCACTCCAGCTGGTCATTGACACAGACAGCGAGACTCCCTCCTTGTCTCCCTGGCCTGCCTCTATCCTTCCATTCCTACACTCCACTCATAGGAACCATCTCCCCATGTCTCCATGATGCCAGTAAGATCATAGCCCTACAAGTGTGTGCACGTCTCTAACTCCTCTTGTTTATTTCCCATGCTACGTGTGTTTGTATTGAAGTGGGCCCCTGATGAAGCTGCCTTACAGGCTGGATGTTAAGATTCCTTCCTGTCAAGTGATCATTTGCTTTGCATTCAGTTCAATATTTAATGTTGTGATTTTTTCCTGTTTCCCCCTCCAAATCCCCTTCTTTTAGAGAAGAAATGTTGACCCACAGCCTAAGAAAGCTGCGAGAGCAGATTGTTAAAGCTAATTTGTATGTGAGAGAAGCCAATTTTATTGGAGAGGAATTGGACAAAAGGACAGAGTATAAAGTTACCCTCCAGATCCCAGCTTCAAGCCTTAACGCTAACAGTAAGGTAAGGTAGCCCTAATGGAACTAAATGATTGTTCATTACATTTGCCCTTCAGCGTTTGCATTTGTTGTATTCTGAGTTTAATGGTCTAGATAGTTTGCCAGTCTAGTCATGTGCATTAAATGTGGTTCTGTTGGTGCATGCTATATTCTTATCTTATTTCATTACCATGAAAATCTGATACATGCTATCTTACGGATACAAGTTTTGGTGCAAGTCCTTTCCACTGGTGTTGAAGTTCAGACCTGTTCCTGTTGCAGAATGACAAAATCTGTGCAGGTTAGGTAACATCTATTTCAAGTATTCACCGTCTCTGTGTGGACATTTGGCTTTCCATCACCTGCTGAGCTGAGAAAACGCTGTCATCCCCATTGTGGAGAAGGAGCTGGAGCAGAGAGGATTTGGGTTATTTGTTCCAGGCTTCTTAGAAATTTTGGAAGGAGGGAACTGAACCCAGACTTCCATTTCTTGGGCTGGCTACGTAAGCTGGTATTATTTATGTTCTTGGTGTCAGCTCAGTATTTTGGGGACACTCAGGCTGTCGTTAGTACAGTAGATATATTTTATTCCAGGACTAGAGTTTTTATCAATTGCTTTAGAAGTTTCTCTCATCTGCTTATTTTTCATGGAGTCTTCTGGCACGTCGAGAAACAGGATGGTAAAGAGAGTTAAGTATCTGCACTAATTGGAAGTCACAGACAGTAGTAACCTCAGCTGGAACTCCAGGCCTGCTGTAGCTTGATATTTGTTAAATGCTTAAATGTTCCTACTTCTAATACTTATGTAAGGTAAAAAGCCATGGAAACTAGTGCCTGTAGCTGTGATTAGAGTTCATGGTTAAACTGAACACAAATATACTGTGACAGCCAAATTCAGGGTCTGTCATGCTTGAATTTGAAGCTAGAATTAAAAAAAACCAAGAATACAGACTTTTCCCAAAGATGTTCTCAGTTTTGTATTGATTTTCAACTATCTTTTCATTGTTGTGACAAAATTACTTACTTATATCTATAACTGTTTCATAGAGAGGCGCAATTCTCAGTGAGCCTGCTATTCAGGTGAGAAGGAAAGGGAAAGGTAAACAGATTTGGTCACTGGAAAAGCTGGAGAATCGATTGGTAGATATGAGGGATCTTTACCAGGAGTGGAAAGACTGTGAGGAAGACAACCCAGTAAGTAAAAATTACTCCAGTATTGTGCTGATAGAATTACATCCCTGTTAAATTTTATGTTTAAGTACATGTGAGAAAAACTCATTCAGGAGGGGGAGGGTGAAGGTTGGGGACGAGTATGTAAAGGGATACATTTTCCTGAGCTTTTGCTTCTCCTGGTACTGAAGTGATCTTTAGCATGTCATTAAGCTTTTTTTTGTCACTTTGATGCTTGTTTGCATATATACTTTGGTGATGTAATCAAGTATAGAGCAGGAAGCCGCAGGTAAACACAACAGCAGTTGACACTCAGGCTGACTTCTCTGTATCTGGTGACGTTAAGGAGAACTTGCTGAGGACAGGCCTTATACTTGGTCCAAAAGTAAAATACAAGTTTCCATTCTCGTGATCTGATCTGGTCTCTTGCTTGAGTCTGTTTTTCTTTCACTAGGCTGGTTGTGCAACCCTTTGAAAACTGTTTCATGAGAAGTTTGGTTTTCTTACATTATTATGAATTTGATTGAAGGTGATGAGAGCTTACTTCAGGCGAGCTGACCCATTCTACGATGAGCAGGAAAACCACAGCCTTATCGGAGTAGCCAATGTTTTTCTTGAGTGCCTCTTCTATGATGTGAAGCTACAATATGCTGTTCCAATCATCAACCAAAAGGGAGAGGTTTGTCATTCTTCCATAATCTATCCTTACTTACTATTTAACTACAGCCTGTGGATCTCACTACCAGTATATAGTAGATATTTTCCAGTTTCATGTGGACAAGCTTTTTGCTAACGATTTGGAATTATGCAAATCACATACTAACTTGCTAGAGCTGTTTAGACAGTTCTGATTCCTAACATGGTGATTATGAAAGGAGGAAAAGCTTTGTGACCACTTTTGTGAGTGAATACTTGGTAGAACTATGAGCCCCACTGGCTTTCAGTGACTACTATCAAGAATAGGGTCTTAAATATATACTGTAATAACAACTTCAAAGGCACCTAGAGCAGGCCAGGTAACATTCTTCATTCTCTCGGCATTTTTAATTCATTGCCCAGAGAAGTTGTGGATTCCCCATCCCTGGGGGATGTTTAAGTGTTTAAGGCCAGGTTGGATGGAGCTTTGAGCAACCTGGTCTAGTGGAAGGTGTTCCTACCTGTGGCAGGGCAGGTGGAACTGGTTGAGCTTTAAGGTCCATTCCAACCCAAACCAATCTATGATTCTATGATTCTCTGTGCTCTGCATCACTTGCACTTTGCAGACTCTCTAGAGGCTGGTGTGAAGGTGAGATTTCAGTATGCTCTTCCCAAAATTACTCCAGTGGCTGATTTCTTTATAATTTTACAACAAAGGATCTTCAAGTCTTGCTCCAAAGTGAATGCACAGTGCAAGATAATAGAAAGGAATAAAGTTTTGTCTGCTTACACACTGGAAACAGCAGTAGCTGTAATTACCTGGAAAGAGAGGAACCTGTCACTGTTTTCTGGCACACGGGTAATTCTTACTCTTTTTCTATCAGGTATCAGGTCGTCTCCACGTTGAAGTTGTTCGTGTTAGTGGAGAGATAGACGACAGGTTGGTTGGAGGCGAGGATAGTCCAGACTATTCAAATGAAAATGATGTTCAGGAGAGAAAACTTGTCTGCAGGGTGAGTTCCAGTTATATCCCAAACTCTGAGCAACCTTTGCTCTTTCCATCTCAAGTCTTAAAGAAGTCCCCGGTGTGTTTGCTTCTAGATGTTAGATGTCTCTTTGGAACCTCGTGCACCATGTTTGCTTCCAGTATGCAGTCACAGAGGCAGATACTCATTGATTGATGATATGAAACTGTATTGATGTTTCAGGATTAAAAAAATAATAAAAATAGAAAGGGCAAGTAATTTAGCTTTACCTAATGATTCAATTGTATGCACAGAGTTTAATTCTTTTGCTGTTATTTGTTTCATAGCCTTATGTAATAATCTGGGGCCCTGTGTTTGTCCTGAAGCTCTGCTGTGTTGCTTTTTCTCATAGTATTTTGCTCCTGGGGATGGCTGAAATAAAACAAGATAACTAGATGGAGTTTGTTCCTTTCAATCTCCATGATTTATTTATTTTTTTTTTAAGTCTGCGAGGTATTAATTAAACTATATGCCCAGGAAGTTTGTTGTAATCCTGGAAGACATGGAAGATCTGTGCACTAGGATTGGAGCTATATTATCTAATTCAAAAGGAGTCCGAATCTGATAAACTCCCATTGTTCTGTGCATCATTCTCAGTAGTTCTCTCTCTAAATATTAAATAGTTTATGAAATATATGCAGGTGTACTTATTATTGTTAGTTATACAAAGAAAGTGAAGTATTCACTAGCAGTTTTGTGTTGTAGTAAAACACAAGATAGACCAAGCTACAGCTAATAAAAGAGGAAGGTAAAAAGCGCTAGAGGGAGTCGTTCTCAACTTCGCTGACTTCTGGACAATGTGCAGAATTTGGGGGCAGTTGTACTCTTTTACACTTTTTATCCTGTCCCATAGAGCTCCAAATGCTTGCAGGAAACATATTCTCCTGAGGATCTTGAGTTCTGCCTTAGTATGGAAGACTGTCTAATTTTATCTTAACTTGACAAATATAGAATAGTTTATTAAATAGCATGGCTAATATGACGGCTTTGTTTAGATCAAATAGTACAATCAAAACATTTTGTTTCTATTTGGCCTTGATTTTGAAAAAGAGGGGACAGGCTACTTTTGTACTGTTGGGCTTATTTTTATGTTGTTTCTAGAATTGCAGAATAAGGGCAAGTAGTCTCTTTAAACAAGGATTTGGTAGAATAAAGGAGCCAGGCTTTGGTAGAATTGCGATATTTTCATTATATTCCTCTTAAATTACAATGGTTTTGGTGCATCTCACCATTAAAAATGAACAAAGTATTTTGGTGTGCTCGTAAAATTGAGCCCTTTAGCTTTTACTACCAAGAAATATGTGCCTGATGACATCTAGTGACCATGTTCAGCCAATGCACCCAAAATGTTAAGTGTGTGTCAGTGCAGAAATTCGTATTGTAAGGTTGTTTTTTGGTTTTGTTTTGGGTTTTGTGGTTTTGGTTTGTTTGGGTAGGTTTGTTGGGTTTTTTTTTTTTTTGTTATCCTTTGGATATACAACAGCATTGTTCGTACAGAAGATATTTTAATTCTATGCCTAATGAATAAGTGCTTTTCCTTCGTTTCTTGTCTCTATTCTAGATTAAAATACTCCAAGCTACAGGTTTGCCACAGCACCTCTCCAACTTTGTGTTCTGCAAATATACTTTCTGGGATCAACTGGAGCCAGTTAATGTCGCACCTGAAGTGGATCCTTCGTTATCCTCCATCAGCAAGGAGCCACGGTGCATGGTTGTCTTCGATCACTGCAATGTAAATAATTTTTTTTCTTTTTCTATTTTATTAATGAAACTGCAGGCAGACAAAGCAGGTTTGTGCTTGCATGACAGTTTTTATTTGCCTCTTTTCTCACATTATGTTTCATGAGACTGATACCGTAATACCATTTTTAATAAAAACTTAAACATCTTCAGAGTTCATATCAGTTTGATTATCCTACACTGTTCACTTGTGTGGAAATCACAGAAGATGAAGTGGGTTAATAGAGGAAAGTAATATGTTCAGCAGAGAGACTTATGTTAGTTTACCCACAGTAAAAATGCTGCTGAGCATGAATGGAAGAGCAATATTCATCTGAGTACACTTGATGGCTGTATCTGAGCTGATCACTCTAGACTCTGATGCAGTGGAGAGAAATGTCCCAGTCCTGCGACATGATGCCTGTTATCCTAATGTAGTAGACGTTGAAGTTAGGTTATGTAGCTTAGAACAGACTATTTCTTCCTGTTGACTTTGCAGCAACTGTCTGAGTGGAGGCATCTTTAACAGAGATAGATGAAGTCATCTTAGATGAATCCCAGCCAAATTATCTGAGTTCTCATCTTGTTCTTTGTCGTTTGTCATTACACTGAGCAATTTATTCAGCTTATAATTTCTAAAATAAATACAATACCTTCTGATGAGTTTTGATTTTCTGACTGAATATTAGAAAATATGATTTTATTTTTTTGGAACCATCAGATGATTACTTGGAACAGCATGTGGTCATTTTTCAGCTCTTTATAGACTCTAATCTTCAGTAAATTGTGTATCTTTGCTTTACCTCCTGGTTTTACAAATGAAGGTGACAGTTCTTTCTTTCCTTTATATTGTGGCTTGGGGACCAGGGTGACTTTACTCCATGCTTATGTTAAAGCCAAGACAGTAAATCTCTAAGCCTAAGTCATTGTGTAGTCACAGACGTCAACCGATCTGTCGCTTACAGGAAGTTTCTGTAAATATTTCCGAAGACTTCATGGAACATCTTTATGATGGTGCTTTGGCAATAGAAGTATATGGGCACAAGCAGAGTGGTGACCGCAAAAATCCAGCCCTATGGGATTTGGGAATAATTCAAGCCAAAACACGCAGCCTTCGTGACAGGTAAATATGGAAAAAAGATCCTTGGTTTAGAATTTTCAGGGAAATCCCTGTCTCAGGTGCCCAATTCTGATGCAGGTTTGGGATAAGTAGTCAAATTTTGAACTGAAGACAACGGAGCATGTGTTTGAGATTGTATACTCTGTTTACTGGAAAACCACCATGTCAGCAGGCTTTAAAAAAGTGAAAGAGGAGAAATGCCTATCTCTATTTCAAATTAGAAGTGTTAAAACTTGAAAAACTTTGAAGCCCCTTTTATTTAGGCAAACTCAAGTTGTATTTTACAAAAGAGTAAGCTGATTATTTTCCTTTATATTGTTATGCTGGACTGCATCAGAAAGAGCTATCAAGTATAAAACAGCAAGAGGTCGTCCTGACTGTATGCTCATATATTTATTCAAGGTCTGACTCCAATTGTTCTTGGCCATGAAATTTCATCCCTGTAATGCTTCCACTGGAAGATCTGTATTGTTAATTACTTCAGTTGGAGTAAATATGCAACAGTATGGTAATTCAGACTGAAGGGGGCTGCTTGTTTATTGTCCCCAAAGGAAGCTTAGTAGCATTCTCTTAAATGCTTTCTTTGATTTGCTTCTCCAGTTAGAATGCTGCTCTGCACCTTAATTTATTGGCAGTTATTTATCTTTTTACTTCCAGCCTAAACTTTTGTTGAGCATGCTGAACATTAAGCTATATATAGGGAAATTTAAAAGAAAAGTCAGGAAAATATGGCAAAGAGGAGATGGAAAAAGGAGGCTATAAAATCATAGAATCATGGAATGGTTTGAGTGAGAAGAGACCCTAAAGATCATCTTGTTCCAACCCCCTGCCATGGGTAGGGACACTTTCCACTAGAGCAGGTTGCTCAAAGTCTCATCTAACCTGGCCTTCAACACTGCCAGGGATGGGGCAGCCACAGCTTCTCTGGGCAACCTGTGCCAGGGCCTCACTACCCTCACAGGGAAAATCTTCCTAAAATCTCATCTCAATCTCCCCTCTTGTCAGTTTAAAGCCATTCCCCCTTGTCCTGTCCCTACAGGCCCTTGTCAGAAGCCTCTCTCCAGCTTTCTTGTCAGCCCCTTTAGGCACTGGAAGCTGCTCTAAGGTCTCCCCGGAGCCTTCTGTTCTCCAGGCTGAACAAGCCCAGCTCTCTCAGCCTGTCTCTGTAGGAGAGGTGCTCCAGCCCTCGGAGCATCTTTGTGGCCTCCTCTGGACTTGCTCCAACAGGAGTTCCTGAAATTCAGGAAAGTGCCCTGTGTCTTGAAAGCTTGTGAGAGAACATCATATTTTATTCTGCTGTCTTCTGTATAAATCTCATAGGACTGACTATGCTGGGCTTCTGTGGCAGTAGATGAGACCAAAGCATAAATGTTAAAATGTAGTGGAATTGGGGTTTGAGTCGCAAAGGCTTATTTCTGATTTTTGACTGAAATGATTGTTAGTAAAATTATAAGAACTGTACAACTGGTAACCCAATCCTTGCACAAGGCAGGGGGGTTGGAACTAGATGATCTTTAAGATGGTCTTCCTTCCAACTCAAAACATTGTATGATAATATACACTTACAAACGGTGCATCTATTGACTTGTTCCTCTAATTCTTCAGTCTGTATTCTGAGCTATCCCTTGTGCTTATTCTTTTCTCTGGGGAAAAAGGGAAAGAAAAAACCATATTTGACATGTTTTGCAGGTGGAGTGAAGTAACCCGAAAAGTAGAACTCTGGGTTCAAATTCTAGAATTGAATGAGAATGGAGAATACTGCCCAGTTGAGGTGACTCCTGCCAGGGATGTATGCACAGGAGGCATCTTCCAGCTCAGACAGGTAGGGTGGCATGTATAACATTTTGGCTATGAAAAGAACCTGTGGAAAACCAAGAAGCTTCTATTTTGTATGGTAAAGAGATGGACACAAAATAAGATATTGTGTAGAACAGACATAAACCGGAAGAAAGTGGAGTCCCTCAGGGTTTTGTGAAACTGCCAGTGTGCATAAGCTCAGATTCAAAGGTGATCAAATGCTTACCTGCAATCTTTTTGCTATGATCTGTTCTGGGATAGCACCTGCTAGAAAGTCTAGACTGGACTTAATAATTTTTTAAAGAGGTTCAGAGTTCCCCTTTATTTGATCTTTCCGGCGAACCATTCCTTTGTTCTTTGAATTCTACATGCATTAAATTGTTAATGCTTAACTGAGTAGTTAACATTTGTAAGTGATAAGCTATTGCCCAGAGAACACAAGGAATTAGTAAAAGTTAGATACAGGCTGAACCTCTGAAGTTCCCAACTCCTTTGATGATTTTTTTTTTTTCCCATTTTTTTTTCCACTGTGGGTATTATAAAGAAGAGTTACTGTGCTGCACTGATAGCACAAGTGGATAAGAATTTTCAGTCAAGCTCACTGAAATTCCAGTAACTCACAAAATTAGACTATTTTCTCTCCTCTTTTATAGGTGGGGAAGAGACCCTATTTTCTGCCTTCAGAAGTATTACAAATAAATTCCCATAAGCGTATGTTTTAAAAATCCTCCAAAAAAGTAAACTGGGAAGTTGCTGAACACTGAACTTTTATTTTTCTGTAAATATATCAATCCTGTAACATAAATCCTTGCAACAGAGGGGAACTCTTCAACACTGGGTCACTGAGGTTGCAATCCTCATCACTGTGTTCTTCGCAAAATAAAAACGTAATGGTGCTTGCAAATGACTGCCAGTAGAGGTCTCTCTGTCATTAAGCTTACGGTATTTTATATTTTCTTTTTCCAAGCATTTCCAATTGTTTTTTTGGGCAGGGGCAATCTCGACGAATTCAGGTTGAAGTGAAATCTGTACAGGAATCTGGGACCTTGCCACTGATGGAGGAATCCATATTATCTGTTGGCATTGGTTGTGTTCAAATAAAACATGTCAAGTCACAAAAACTACCTGAAAATTACCAGGTAAGTGTGAATATTTCCTGTCATCTATGGCTATTTCCAAGACATGTAAAAGCATAAAGTGATGTCCTGTGTGGCAGTTGGAGGCAACTCCATTCATTTCAATATTTAGTTTGGTCTTGGGGGATGTTTTTGTAACCAACTTCTTAAACATATAAAGCAATATTAAGAAGAATTGGCAGACTTGCCTTGATGGTGGTTTTAGGGATTAGTCAGGATAGTTTAAATCTAAACCTCTGTCTTTCTGAAAGTCTTGTGGAAGATCTTAATCACAAATCATTTTCCTTAGCAAAATAATGTTTGTAAGACTACCTTCTCTGTCTTTTCTGGTTTTAGCATCTTTTTCCTATCCTTAAAAGCGGCATAGCCTTAACACACCATTCCAAGAAGAAAAGAAATCACCAAAGTTTCTAAAATTCATTAGGAGTTTGTCCAGTAGATTTTACTTCAAATATTAGATAGGGCAGCAATTTTATGTGCAACATATATTCAAACAGTGTTGAGTTACAAATGTTAGAATTATATGAACCAGTTGTTGACCCATAGTAAATGTTGGGCAGTTAGACAACTTCAGAAGCACTGCATTTCATCTTAAACTGCAAGTATATTGCTTTGTTATTAGGGATTTTCTTTTTGCAATCCTTCTATCAGTTTCTAATTCAGTTTGACTCCTTTCCCCAACAGCTGCATTAAAATCTAGTCACTGCTCTGAGTGAGCAAGCCAAAATCTGGTGCGGTAGCACAAGCAAGTCTCCAGACTTGTTCGATTAGCTGCCCTGCTTGAGACAAGGCCAACTAAACATCAGGTAGTTCTGGGGACATCTCCCAGCTTTCCATAATGTTTACTCTGTTGACATAGTATGATTCAGTCTGTGTCTGCTCCTGGTTTTTTGCTTTATCAGTATTGTTTTTCTCTTTAAGGTCTGAAGTAGTTAGGTTTTTTGCTGTTTCCTAACCTTAACAGCCCCTTGCCCCTTGTATGTCAGGCATACAAAAAGGGGAATTTTTTCTACCTTTGCAAAAATCTCATGTTTCAGCAGCAGCCTGGGCAGATTATTGCTTTCATTTCCCATTATGCTTCTGTTACCTTCAGGCTTTTTTAGCTGCCTTTCAATCACAGCAGTTTTTGATACCCATGTCCTATAAAACAAGTAAACTGTTGTTTCTGTTTTACTCCTGAATGGAGCAAGTTTTTTAAGAGACTTTTCTCTCCGAAGTCAGAGTGAATGATTCTTGCAAATTTTATTTGAAAGCTATTACGCATCTGCAACATACACATGCCTCTTTGAGCCTGTTTCAGAAGGGGATAAGTCCCAGGTGAACATCCTGTCTGTCTCACCCTGTTTCTTCCTCAGTGAATTCCTGATCTGTTGACCAGTTTCAATCATATCCGACAGAGCTGGCAATCTTTCTGGCACATTCTTTCAAGAAGAAAGACTTAAGCTCCTCTTGAGAGAGAGACTAGTGAGTTGTGTCTGACACTGATAACCCACATGGGAAAGGGCTGTTGAAAATCATATTTCATTAGTCCTCTTTCTTACAATAGCCTTCTGACTTAAGCACCTGGATTTTTAGTCCCCTTATTAGCATTTCTCTGTCTCAAGTAAATTGGTATCTATGGAATATGAAAGATTTTCTAAAGATCTTGAACTAAGAAAATGTTCTTCTATATGAAGAACTTAGCTTAGCTAAATTTTTGCTTTCGTTACTAGATACAAAAGTAGACTCCAGTAGCTTGTTATTACTTAAATAGATCAGTAATAACTCCATGAGGATTGGAGCCCTCATTGCTTCTCCATTCACTGTGAAGGAGTGGCAGTTGTGCTTACTCTCACTGCAAGTGGCTCTGCTTGTGATAAATGTTGAGAGTGAAAGGTGGTGTCTCCTATCAGAAAATAATGGAAATCAAAATGTCAAATGTCTACGTTGCGACTTCTGGTGTGACACAGTTATTCAAACTCCCTAACAATTGTCTTAGATGTTTACTATTTTTCTCCTGTAAATGCTACAGCAAGCTTACCTCAAATCCTTTATGCCAGAGTGATTTTTCAGTAGTTGCTGTAACATTGATACTGAAGTCTTACCAGCACATTTTTCTTTGCTGTGCAGGATCATCAGATTTCAAGTTGTTTCACTAAAACTCCTATTTCTTTCTTAGGGCAATTCAGGTGTTCCACTTGCTTCCAATTATGAAGGTTTCTAGTAGCTAGTAGCTCTGTGATATTTTTCCATTCTAATTGTTGGATTGTTCTGGATGAGCTGATAGCAGCGAGTCTTTGGGATGTCATTGTGTTTTAATTCTGTGATCATACTACTGCTAAGCTCAGACTTTTATGTAAGACTCCTAATCTTGCTAAAATAGTTACACCTTTTCCATTCAACGTGTATCCTGCTATGAAAAAATGTAATGGCATGGTTTTGTATTGTTTGGCCTAGGAAGAAGAGGACGAAATGGACAGTTATCAGGTAAAAATTTTGAATCCTTTGTTTTTACAAAGTCAGGCATTTTCAGATTAAAACACGTTAGAGGAGGATCAGTATTTTATCTTTGCTGTACTGGCTGGATATGCAGAAAGCCTATCTTCTGAAGAGACTAAAAGCTTAAGAATTGCTTTTACTGTTATGCTATTGTTATGCTATGCTGTTAGATTGTTGTGCTACAAAGCTGTGTGGTGGATTAGAGAGGTGGTTCTGTGTAGTGGATTATAGAGGTGGAAGTGAAAGAGCAAGGAGCCTTAATGTGTATTTCCAAAACAAAATCCACTTGCTTTTGAGTTTTGGTGCTCTGTGAGAAGGAGTATTCATTCTCAACAAACTGTGGTATTGAGAGCAGCCCTACATAGAGACTTGGGGATGTTGGTTGATGAGAAGCTCAACATGACCCAGCAGTGTGCGCTTGAGCCCAGAAACCAACCATGTCCTGGGCTGCATCACCAGCAGCATGATCAGCAGGTCAAGGGAGAGATTCTCCCCCTCTGCTCCACTCTTGTTAGACTCTCCCCGCAGTCCTGCGTTCTGCTCTGGGGGCCCCGACATAAGAAGGAGCTGTTTGAGTTAGTTCAAGGGTTCTTTGCCTGCAGAAGAGAAGGCTCTGGGGAGACCTTAAAGCAGCTTCCAGTGCCTGAAAGGGCTGACAGGAAAGCTGGAGAGGGGCTTTTGACAAGGGCCTGTAGGGACAGGACAAGGGGGAATGGCTTTAACCTGACAGAGGGGAGATTGAGATGAGATCTGAGGAAGAAGTTCTTCCCTGTGAGGGTGGTGAGGCGCTGGCACAGGTTGCCCAGAGAAGCTGTGGCTGCCCCATCCCTGGCAGTGTTCAAGGCCAGGTTGGACACAGGGGCTTGGAGCAACCTGCTCTAATGGAAGGTGTCCCTGCCCATGGCAGTGAGATTGGAACTAGATGAGCTTTAAGGTCCCTTCCAGCCCAAACCATTCCGTGATTCTATGAGATTTTCCTGATTAAGAACAAGAATAGGCATAGCAGTGTTGAATGTTGCAGTCAAATACTTTATGCTGTTTCATATTATGAATGGTGCTATGTATAAGAGAGCTGGAGTACACTGCATGGTCACCAACTCTTAGGTGAAGAAGGGGGATTCTGGTTCTGGAGCCCAAAGACAGCAGGGAAACCATTTTTTTCTATATAATGTCACAGTAACATGAGTCTTAAAGGGGAATTGATGAGATGCCCCTGATGAGATACAGTATCTGTGATACCTTTCTCATCTTCTTGTGAATAACTTTACAAAAGCACATCATCGTTTTTATAGATCTCAACTTTGCATAATGAGAGCAACCAGAGATTTAGGTTTAATGCTTTCTGACAGATTCTGGCACACTTGTTAGGGGTCTGCAGCTGAGTAATACAACTGTAGTTTATAGTCTTGCATCCACCCATTTTTCTTGACAAAGTATGTGTTATACTTTGATGTGGAATGCGTCTGAACTGCTGTAAAAGAGGCTTGCCTGAAGGCATCCCAAATCTGATAGCTCGTCTTTGTGGCACCCAACATGTTGCATGTAGAGTATCATTCATCATTTCTGAGCATTTGTACACAAGAGACAAATGAACTGAGTATTCTTAAGGATACTGAGGTGGGGTTTTTTTGAAGGACATGAGCACTTGAGAAGAAATATTTTTAAACGGCCTAGTTGAAAATGACAGGACTAGGGATAGTGACATGATGCAGGGCAGGGATGGAGTCCTAATATGAGGCTGCTAAACTGAGTGGGAATGGTAAGTGATGGATAAGGACTGGTGTTTCCAGCTTTGCCACAAGGTAGTAGTTAGTGAGTTTTAGACTAGTTTGGGGGCAAAAATGTATTTGCAGTTTGTTCAGCTGGTAATACGATATAACAGCTAGACAAGTATGCCTCAAGCTGGCAAGCAAAAATACTTCAAATAAGATGTGACAAGTTAGGGATTTGGACCTGTGAAGAAAGGCTAAGAGAACTGGGGTTGTTTAGCCACAAGGAGAAGCAAAGGCTCAGATGGGATCTTGTCAATGTATGTTAGTGATAAAGGCTAAAGAGGACAGAGCCAAGCTCTTCTCAGTGGTATCCAGTTAATGGAGAAGAAGCACTGAGTTTGCACTTCACATAAGAAGTAAACACTCTTTGGGGTTTTTCTATTTTTTTTAATTTTTTTTAACCATGGTGGTGGTCAAACACTGGAACAAGTTGCTTGGAGAGGTGTTGGAGTTTCCATCTGTGGTGATACTCAAATCCCAACTGGACATAGCCCTGAGCAAGCTGCTATGGTTGACCCGACTTTGGGCACAGAGCAGGGGTTGGACTAGACAATCTCCAGAGAGGTCCCTTTCAGCCTCAGTTCTCTGTTACTGTTTAAGTTGTCCTGTGCAAAAAAAAGCAGAGAAGAGCTAACTGATTCATTGGAGGTCTGCTCTGTCTGTCTTATTTGCTTCTTGGGCACAGGATGAGCTGAAGTGTTGAGGAAATGTGTAAGCCACAAATAGGAAACCTTGGTTTTCCTGCGTCAATATTTATCATGACTACTTTCTTCTTTACAGGACAGGGATTTGGAGAGGCTCCGTCGGAAATGGCTGTGTGCCTTAACAAAGCGGCAGGAGTATCTTGATCAGCAATTGCAAAAACTTGTTGGGAAGCCTGGTAAGCAAAATACTATTAGTGGTAAGAATAGTGATATGTTGAGAGGCATGCTCTCGCACTTTTTATCTTAAAATAAAACCGTATTGTAAATAAAATAAAATCTTAAAATAAAATGTATTGTAAAATTTAGAAAAGAAGTTAATGGAGAGTTGGATCTCTGAACTCACCAATAATTTGCTTTCAGTGAAACCGAAGTTAGAGACGCCTATATAAAATTGTTCCTGTACACTGTGTGTTTCTTCTTTGCATGCTGAATATCTGAGTAGAGTGAGGTTTTCTTCTATTATGGCTGGTATAAGATCTCTGAGACATGATAAGGCACCGAGTATGAATTTCTCTCTATTGTCCTGACTAACATCCTGCTTCTCCAGATAAAACAGAAGATGATGCGGATCGGGAGGCACAGCTTTTAGAGATGAGGCTAACACTCACTGAAGAAAGGAATGCTGTAATGGTTCCTTCTGCTGGCAGTGGGATTCCTGGAGCTCCAGCAGAGTGGTATGAACATACATTGCCGTATGCAAGAACGAATGTAAAAATGATGCATGGCCTGTTCCTAACTTGGATCATTGCCATTTTTTGCTTTCCTTAATCTGGCCTCTGTACACTGTATGAGCAAAGTTGTTAAAATTAGGCCTCTTGCTTGAATTATTTTATTAGGCTGTCCATCTGAAATTCAGAATGCTATTTAGTAAACGATACTGTTATTGATCAGAATGTAAATATGACCTTCTGAAAAAATAGGATCAATATTTATTACCATTGCACTTACCATTTTAAAAAATTAGCTAATATGTTAATTACCTAGTTCATTCGCTTAAAAGGCTGCTCTGTCATAATAAAACTGCATCTACAGGAGCATTTTGTGGCACTCTTGGTTTGAGCACAAAGTCTGTTTAGTCAGCAAGTGTTCCATGTAATTTTCTAAACATTAAAAATAGTAAGCTACACTAGACTTGAGATTGCTGTACTGTAGCAGCTGTGAGTAACAACTGCAGATAAGGTGGCAAGGTTGTTTCACTTCAAATCTTTTGTCTTCAGTTGCTTTCAACTTTGTGAAAAAAATTTCTGAGCAAACATCTAACAGTATTTATTGATGGAATGAGTGTCATGGAGTTTTAAGCTAAAGTTTGTTGAAGCTAATAATTCTGAAACATAAAAATGGCAAATGCTTGCTGGAAACCCATCAGCTTTCATATCAAAGTGTTTGACTAGGTTGGAAAATTAGCAGAGCTGCAGGAAACTTCCTTGAGGGAGAATCAGTTTTAAATACATTCAGACCAGAGGAAATGTTTAGTGTTATTTTAGCACTATATATTTTAGCACCATATAATATATATATCTTACAGAAGACTCCTGCTCTTGTTCACCATAAAGTTCATCAAGTCCAAGTTTGTCTTGAGATAGCTACAGCCCTTTTTTTACAGCTAAGATCACAACAAGAAACCTTAAAGTCTTCTGTGCCTCATGTTACGTTTTTATTTCCTTATTAATGTTGTGTAGCTTTAACATGCTGGGCCAAGGACTACTTTGTTTTAAAAACAAACAAAACACCACCTATGTTATCCCTTCTTCCATGAAAGATACCTTAAATGGCAGCTTTGACTCTTAAATATGTGTGGTTTGTAAGAAAGAATTATAACTGTGTAGCATAGCAGCATCAATGTTAGTTTAAAAACTTTGACACTGGATGCTCTGATTCTCACTCTGCTGTCTTCACTGCCATTATTAATGCAGAGGGAGTTGCTTTTAATAAATGTGTGTGTCAGAGTAAATAAACTTAATTTTTCTATTAGCATTTTAGAGGGAGAGAACATCTCTGAAAGCAGAGGTCAAAGAATATAATAATTCTAAGAGAGCTAGGATAAAAGAAATGCTGATTTAGTTGAGTCTCTTGGAATCTGCACCAGTAAATTAAAATAAAACTGTTTGCCAATGTTATCAATAATCGGTTTAAAATGGCAGTTGTTCTGATTGTAATGTACTTGGGGCTTGTATCGTAAGGTACGTGTGCTGGGTAGATCTGTGTTAGTTTAAATGCTACCATTGTCCCTGTCTTCCATCTTAGGACTCCAGTGCCTGGTATGGAAACTCACATTCCTGTTATTTTCCTTGACTTGAATGGTAAGTGGTTCTTAAAATGACAGAGTGCTTTGAAACAAACTTCATACAACCAGTGGCATTATAGAATTTAAGCGTGCTAATAAAACAAAGACATGCCTGGAATGGCAGGTGGATTAATTTGAGAGTGCACGTTTTTCACTGAAACATAGTTTAATGTTTCAAAATACACAGCATTATATATGGGAGGACCATAGATTTTCATAATTACAGTGTTTTTCATATTTTTTTATAACTAAAACAGAAATAGTAAAATGAATACACCTAAGGGAGTGTACAAAAAAAGCAGTGTAAAAAAGAAATTATTGTTGGGAATGTTTTTTCTAAGTTCTTAGAAGGATATAGCACTGATGCTATATCCTGTAATTTCTTTACTGATGACTTAGAAGAAAATGTGAAGTCACTGACAGTAAGATTTCCATATCAAAAAAACATGGCATGATTAGCTCAAATTAGTTTACAGAGAGTGACCATGTATGTTTCTTTAAACCATGTATTGTCCAATACATCCAAATACAAGATCCAATTCAAACAATGTATTTATCAGATGCTTCTACCAAAGATGGGAAATTGTAGCCAAGAAAGCAGCAACCCCAACATAATCCAGGGAGCCAGCAATGCCTAATCAGTTGAACATCTTGTCAAGATGTTTAAAAGAGGGTTAACACATGCATTAGAAGCATCAGGTGAGAATGGGGAGGTGACATTCTGCCTGTTGTGAGGAGGTCTTTGTTGCAATGCTGTTTACGTTTATGGTTTGTTCACCTCACAAAGCACATTGAGATGTGAAATGGCTTCAGAGAGAAGCTAGTTAATCATTCATAGTGAGGAACTCAATCCAGAAGAGATTGAGCTGCTTCTCAGAAACCAGATGAAGGGTTTGTTTAATCATGATCTGTATTTTTACTTGTTTAACCATCAGCTTATTTTCATTTAAAAAAAAATCCACACCACCTGACTAGTGCCAGATGAGCAATGAACTTGGTATGATTGAGCTGCAGTGCTGAAAACACACCTGTGGGCCAGGAGGGGGATGTTTACAGCTGGGGGAGAGTCCCACACAAAGAGGACTTTATAAGGCACGCTTAAGTCTGTGTTCCCAAATCTTTGTGCACACTTTCTCTGTTGAAATGGAATTCTTTCTGAAGTGAAACAACGCAGGAGATTTTCTCTTGTAGATAAAGTGTAAGTAGCCAAGCTGGGGAGTTAGTGATGAAAATGTGAATTTGTGACTTGCTGGATGTTTTTAAAAAGGCCAATTGCTTTGTGTCTCCTCACCTTCTGCATTCACTTCTGTTTCTAGCTGATGACTTCAGTTCCCAAGACAACCTTGATGACCCAGAAGCAGGTGGATGGGATGCTACTCTTGTTGCAGAAGAGGAGGAGGAATTCTTTGAACTGCAGATTGTGAAGCATCATGATAGTGAGGTAAGCAGAGATGCAGGCCAGTATATGTAGTTTAGGAGTCTGTTAATTGTTCTCTTTTTATATTCAGATGTGAAAATAATGCATCAAAGACTGCATATAAAATACGCAGCATTTGTTTCTTATATGACTGACTTTGTGTTTTCCAAGAGAATTCACTAGGAGTATAACCATGATTTCAAAAATAGTAAAACTTAAGAATCTTCCTTCATCCAAATCCAAGTGTTACAAAAGCTTCAGATTCTGAGTTTGTGTTTAAAAACCAAAACAAAATCCCTTAGCAAATTAGAGGATGGAATACCCCAGCTGAAAAACCAAACAATCTTACCTCTTGTTACAGTTAACATTTACCTGTGCATTTTTCCATTCATTATACTCCATTTTGCTACATAGCTCAGAGTCTTACAGCTTTACAATTATTGGTTTATAATTTTTGCTATTAGGCTTAGAATCTCTGATTTTATTTATTTTTTTTTTTTTTTTTTACAATTTTGCTCCTTACTCTGAAATTTATTTCTTTTTATATTTTTAGAGAAGCTTAATTTCTGATAGGTTTGGGATTTTTTGGTTTTGATTTGTTTTCAAAACCTGGAAAGATGACTACCAGGCCATTTTTCTTATGGCTTGAATATAAACCATTTATATATTCAGTAATACTTAACATTCAAGAAGAGAAATTCCAGGTTTTGCCATATTGCTAGAAATGTTTCTGCAAAGTTATTTCTCAAATGCGGACCAGAGTTTATGTGGTGTGATGGAAGATTTTCACTGCAATCTCTGCTGCACTCTGGTTTATGTTAATAAATTAGGCCAAATGGTCCTGTAGTTCTGCATATTTTATAGTTTATTTGCAATGATCCTGGGTATTCAAAGATCTTTTTTTAAGAGGAAATGTTCCAGGGTGTGAGCAAGTTGGCATTTTTAATCCCAGCGTCTTCATTTGGCAAACTAATCTTGATTTTTAAATGGCCTCTTCTGAAGTGCAGGGATTTTTCTTCATAGGGAGTGAAATGGAGAACCTGACTCTCAAAATTTATGTATTATGTATTTTTGTTAATTATGCTTAATTAATTACAGTTAATTATACACCTAATTATGCTTATTAGAGGATACATTTTTTTCCTTTGCAGGTGAAAGCAGAAGCCTCATGGGATTCCACAGTCCACGACTGTATCCAGCTCAGTAAAGGAACAGCAGCAGATGAAAGAGTTTACCTTATTGTGAGAGCCACTGTCCAGCTCAGCCATCCTGCAGAAATGCAATTAGTATTACGCAAGCGCATTTGTGTCAATGTGTATGGCAGACAGGTATGTCTTCTATAATCCTTCACACTTTTCATTCTGCCCCATGGTTATCACTGCTTGAAGAGGGGAAAGCTGTGATTTGTGCAATATGCTGCTGCTATGACTCTTATTTTCCTGTATCTACCTTCATCTCTGCCCACATGAAAGCACCTTATCAATGTCATGCATCGAGACTTTCAGCTGCCAAGTAATTTTCGTAGTATCTTTTATAGTGTGGATGATAATGCAGCTCCTTTTTAAAGGCTCAGTGGCACCGAGGTGTGAGAGATTCGGTATTATTTGTATTAACTCCTGAGTACTTTATCCCATATCACTGGAAAGAGTTAACTTCTCATGAACTTGCATTTTATGTTTCGCAAAAACTGTGCATCACAAGATCACAATATGTTCACACATTACTGCTGATCATTTCTATCTATCCAGATATTTAGAAATAAACTAATAGTAGTTGGAGCAGAGATTCCTTTGTGTAATTTGCCAAAGTTAATCACTCTGTCTCTTATGTTTTCCAATTGGCTTGTGCTCTTACAACAATGCGTAGGTGAGGGCATGATGTTTGATAAATGGGAAGCAGAAGGTTGTCATTGTATTTGCAGCATCTTGTTGTGGAAGATATTTAATTCTGGAGAAGGATGATGAGGAAGAGTTTGTTCAGTGTTATCTCAGAATCCAGCTTCCTCTAGCAGTAATAATAACAAAGCAGAAAGCCTGAATTATTATTCTGTTTGCACATGTGTAGTTAAAATCTGAAGCAAGAGCAGAAGAGGTGTGGTCACACCCTGAAACCCTGGTAGCAGCTCTAAATTGCCCTTACTGATTGGAATAGACGAACTTGGTGCTTCAAGCAGGCAAAAGCTTTTTCTCGGAAAGAGACCAGTGAATTTTTTTGCAATAGAATGGAAGAGTATATTCAATAGAGAAATCGAGCATGCCAGTAATTACAATTGTGTTAAGTCTTCATCAATTCTGTTTGCTATGGATTTAGTCAATTATGTGTTTTACTTTTATTCAACACAGAATCTTTGGCTTTCTTGCTAGGTTTCTAAAAATCCTCATCAATAACCTTTCCTGGGTGTTCGTCTCAGCAGCATCCCTGAATGACTCATCTCTGCATTAATTCAACAGTCCAGTTCTTAACCCTGCAAGGCGCCAAGTCAGCATAAACAATGACCATGCTGCCTTAAATCATTCTTCATAACGATCTCTTTGGTCAAGAATTTAAAGTCTGTACTTGTCAATATTCAAGACAAGTCACCTAGGGCTCTACAAAAAAAACCCACGCCACTTCTAGAACTAGCAAATGCTTTGTGTGCTGGTTAAACGGTCACCTTGCAATGAAGGAAGTTAATCCTTTCTCTGTATCTAAAATACAGACAAGCAAATGATTTATCTCCAAGTTAAAATCTTTGACTCTTACATATTTATTGGCTAGTTTTGGGGGTTTGGGCTTCTTTCATTGTAAACTATATTTCATTTAAAATACATTAAACCATGTTTTCCTTGAAGAAATATTTTCCTTTCTTATTTTTTTCTTTTTTGCCTCTCCATAGGGTTTTGCACAGAGTTTCCTCCGAAGAATGTCTCACCGAAGTTCCATTCCTGGCTGTGGTGTCACTTTTGAGATAGTCTCAAATATTCCAGAGGTGAATAAGAAATCACAGTGTCTGAAATTGGCTAAGAGCCTCTAAATTTCTGATTTTTCCTCTATTTTGAGCATGCTAGCTCTTGCTGCTGCAAGCATAAACTCTGGGTCTTATAAAAGATTAAGCGTATTCCTTTACGTGCTGTGACTTAGCAGCAACCTGTGTGCTATCAGTGTCACTATGTATTTTGTTGAGTGAGAATCTATTTGCTGAGGTCCTTGAGGAAACATTTTAGAGAGAGAGAAAAAGTGGGAGTAAAGATGAGTAGGTGAAGTGCCTAACGTAGGGAGCATGAGAATATGTAAAAAATAACAAAGTGGTTTTTTCAAAGTAATGTCTTTATGCAACTCTTGATTCCTAAGCATGTTCATAGTTAGAATCTAATCCTTTCCTTCCAAACAGATGCTCTATCAGAGCACTTGTGAAAACATTAACACATGAAGAGCCAAAAAGGCTGATTGCTGCCTGACTCTGCCTTTTATGTTCTGCTGTATTTAGCACGCAGTGTTGAAATGTTTCTCAAGCAATGTTCTATTTTTTTTTCTTGCCAGTCACTTGAAATTTTGTTTTCCTCGCAGGATAGGTAACACTGCAAATGTGTTTGAGCACTTTTTAATTATGAAATTCTTCCCTGTGAGGGTAGTGAGGCCTTGGCACAGGTTGCCCAGAGAAGCTGTGGCTGCCCCATCCCTGGGGGACTGGATGAGCATTAAGGTCTTTTCTACCCAAAACCATTCTGTGATCCTATGAAATACCTGAATGTAGTTCTTTTGCTGATCAATGGCAATGTCTCACTGTGAGACTTTCCCTTCCCCCCTCCAAAAAAAACCAAACCAAAACCCCGAACAAAACAAAAAACACAAAACCCGAAAAACTAAACCAACAGAAAAAAATAACCACATCTAGCTCAAGATGTCATGACTGTGGTAGGAGCACCCATGAGTTTGCATGGCACAAATTCCATCAATGTAGCCTGTAACAAGGTTTACATTTAGAAATCATCTGAATCTGCCCCTGAGCTTAAGGGCAAACAATGTTGAATGTGCTGTGTGTTTTAAAAATTAATTTTCTTCAGGACTGATTTGGGAGATTTTTATTTTATTTTAAAAGGATGTTACATCTTTCATCTTCCTAGGATGCTCAAGGAGCTGAAGAGCGGGAGGCACTAGCCAGAATGGCAGCAAATGTTGAAGATGCAGCTTCAGCTGACTCTGAAGCTTATATTGAGAAGTACTTGCGGAGCGTGCTGGCTGTGGAGAACATTCTCACCTTGGATCGTCTGCGCCAGGTCTGTTTTTAAGGCTGTAGCAGACAGCAGAGAATATGCTTACTGAGAACAATAGCAATGCAAATGTTCTCTTAAGTGCATGCAATGGCTAACAAACCAAAAACACCACTTCAGTGCCTACCTCAGCCTGACAAAATGTGCATGTGGCAAACATCCAGGGATGCAAATGTAGCTCTCTATAAGGAGATGTTCTCACTCAACTACCTGAAATATGGATGGATGGGACTGGGAACTTTGTTAAATGCACTGTTATGGGATGCTTGGTTTGGTTTTAAGACTGTGCGTTGCTAATTATGGTTCAGAAATGTAGTTGTGTGGCATTAGCTTTTGCTTTCTGAAGCTTGGGGTTTAGTAATAGTTTCCAAAGTTGCTAGTAGAATTCTTGTCATTTTGCCCATGTTCTACCTTGAAGTAACCAAACCTGTTCTGTCAATAAATAAGACATTGATTGGGTTAAGATTAAGTACTGTAACGTGATCTGTTTACCAGGAAAAATACAGAAGAGGAAAACATTTATTGAAAATTGTTCTTCTGGATATAAATTATGCAAGCACAAAAGAAAGCTATGCAAAACAAGCTAGAGTATGTGCCTGCCCACTATAAATTTATGGTGAAGTGTGGTACACTCTAAGTATTGAAAGCAAGTTCTCTGTCATATATAATTATTTTAAAGGATTAAAATAGGAGCTCAGGCAGGAAAGGGAGTCTTAGTCTTTACATCTGTAACAGTCATCTCCTAGAATCAGAACTAGCTACAAAATCCTGCATGTGCCAATCAGCAAAATACTATATTATAGTTTATCCACTCGTACACTTCTAGCCATCTTACATGCAAGTTGTAGGTTACAGTAGACTTTACAGACAAGAGCCTGGACAATAAGGCTGTTCAGAAACGTTTTTCTTGTATAGACAAAACTATCCTGGGATGATTGGAGCTTAGATTCTTGCAAAACATGCATATTTTCTCTGTTTTGCTTCTCTCTGATTGACAGGAAGTTGCTGTAAAAGAGCAGCTAATGGGAAAAGGGAAACTCTACCGCAGAAGCCTGAGCTCTCCCAATGTGAATCGGGTGAGTATTCCATGCTGACATCTACAGCATACTGAGGACAGCAGGTCTAGTCTTTCAGTTACAGGTCCCTATGATGCCAGTCATGGAATATGGCAATAAATTTCCTTCTGTTTGACCCTTCTGTTTGTCTGTGCTGTTTGTGAGCATGTAAATTGTTAAGTGGAGACAAAATCTGTACATATTCATGCTTTCATCATACAGGCTAGTATGCTTGAAAGCACCCCCATAAATCCAGACTATTTGAAAAATCAGTGTAAGAACTGCTGCATTTTTTTTTCCTGAACACTGGAGGTTTTTTTTCGTTTAGCTACCAACTTGCATGTGGTTTTTTTCCTCACAAGATTTGAAAGCAAGTTACAAGTATTTATTGAACTTAAACTTTGTAACAGTGTTGTGTGTAAGAAGGATGAGACTTCTGTTGTTCAAAATTTAGAAAGAAATCCTTTGATAGAACTGGTAATCAAACTTGTTACATTCTGCTACCTTCCAGGTCAATAATTGGGATTTCACCTTTCATCTCTTGGATTTCATTTCTGCTTTAACTGCAAAATTATTTCTTTTCACCCTTCCTTGCATTTGTCAAGAGGCATATTTATCAGTTGTTTAAGTTTCTTTAAAGAAATAATTCTGCTTGTCTTAATTATTTCAGCTTTCTGGAAGCCGCCAAGATTTAGCACCCCCTTATAACCTAAGCAGTAACAGAGTAAGTATCCAAAGGTCGCCTGGAAAGTCTTTTATAGAAAAAGGTAGCTACAATAACTACACTGTACCAGCTCTAGGGGCATAAGTGGGAAACATCTGTAAAAGATGGGGCACACCCATGTGTTCTTTGTATCCTTGGGACCATTCCTAGGACATAACTAGTTTTGGATGTGCTACACTAGACCTCTCTGGGACAGTTCCCAGGCCTTCGTCACTCATAGAGCAGTGCTGCCAACCACTGTGGGATGTACAGTGGCAGACCTGGAGTTGAGCAGATGAGATTAAATGTAGCTACCCATCACTCAGGAGTTCATTTTTCAGGGGAAATTTTCTCATTGTCAAGCTTCAGAGCTTTTCCAAAACTTGGTGGATGTAAACCTCTTCTGGGTAAGGAACAAATTTGGGTTCATATGTAAGACTAGGTCCACTCTAGGACTGGATGGAGTCTTACGAGGAGAGTCTCTGACCTTCAGAGGGAAACTAACAGTCTTAAGCTTTTAGTGGGTTATAATTCAGCCCATTACACTTAAAAACAATGGTGTAGATCAAAAGTATTTCTTTAAAAGTTGAAAGATTAAGTTTAAACTTATTTTCCAAATCCTAGATAAACTGAAGGGTCTTCTGATAGATATTCTGCCCAGCAAGCATGTAGTCATTTTAAAAGGGAGAATCTAGTGGTGAAGGTGTTTTAATGCATAATGCAGTTGCACAGAATAATAGAATTTTGATGTAGTGCTCTAGCATTGGTTGCTAAATCTGCTATATCTGATCCATGTAGAGAATGCTAAAATATGTGCGGGTGATAAAGTGCTTATAGCAACTTCTATTTGGAGAGAACTGTGTGATGTTTCAATATTGTAGGGTTTTAATGCAAAAATTAAAGATCAGAGTTCTTAATGATTTTTGGTTTTTCTCCTCCCTTCCTCTCAATGGTTTCTCTCATTGCATGTTTCAGAGTCCAAAGGTCCCAGCAGAGGTAATGCATTAGGTCCACCTAATGAGTGGGATAATAATTTTATCTCACTAGAAAGTTTATTTTGCTCACTTACATGCTTTTACTTCCTGCTTTGAAGATGCTGCTGGTGATATCTCATTTGCATAGTATGCAGCAAATGAGTTTTTCTGTTGAAAAGCCTGTCATTAATGCAGTGTCAAACTGGTACAAATGAGAGAAGTTTCTCCTTCTTGGGTGCATCTTATGGTTTGTTACAGAGCTATAGCTATTTAATGCGTTTTCTCACAGTTCTTTGGACGGGATGAAGTTATTTCAGAAATGGCCCCATCTCAGCTAAAAAAAAAACCAGACACATGAAAGCAAGAGAATAGATGCCAGTCATGTATACATTGGCCTGGAGATGAGATAAATGTTGAGAGTTTCTTCCAAATCTCTCTCTTTTTTTATGGCTTCTGATAGTTCAGTGTTAACAACTCTTGATTCCTATGAAAGAATGATTTGAAATTAATACTGGGCCAATGGAAAACATGTTTATCTTTAGTACCCTATTAACACTCTTGGAGGAATGACTGTGTGTCCCCTTAGTTGTACCAAGCTTTGCTTAACCAGAGTTAATTGACAGTGGTTTGCATGGGGCTTTGCAGCTCTTCTATCTGGTTGATGTAGCTGCTGACAAACACACTGTAGTACTGCAACATGGAGCTGAGATTACTAGCTTACCCCTTGCTTTGCAGTGTGCTTCATCTCAAGGCACTTGTTACTCGGGATGTGGGATGTGCAAACTTCCCTTTTGGAAATTTCTCATTTCAAATGGATCTTTGGTTCAGTTTCCACAGGGAGATGAATGGAAGCTTTTATAATCACAATGAAACATTAAACAAATTCTTCTGTTTTCCTATATACACAGAGACCACAAAGCACAATGGTGATATCAGTCCTATCTATTTTAGCATAAAGGATCTGAGAATAGCTTGATATGTGGGGTTTCAACTAAGTTAGATGTCTTCGTCACTTGCAGAGAAATTTAGTGAAAAAGAAGTCTTCTCCAGCAGTCATGAATCATTATCTTACAGGAGTTTGGTTTTGTTTACAAATGCCTATAATCTCAAACAAGTGGGTTATTATATCATCAGAAACATCAGTCACAGAACAGTACCAGCGTCCTGAATTGGGTACAGAACTAATCTGTCAAACCTGCATGCTTTAGTATTTGTGAACCCCTCGACACGTTTCAGACTATTCTTCTTAATTTTTATGCCATTACTTCATATGTCTCTCTAATCTTAACATTATTCCTTGTGTTCCTGCTGTCTTTACCAGGGATTTCTAGCTTGTGGAAAGGGCTCTTGAGTCTCATTCCGCTATGTAGAGCACCATTCATATTGGTAACATTATGAATGTGAATGCTACTTCATTCTTCAGCACTATGAATAGCCAGGACTAGCTCCCCTGTAAACAAGAATATTAAACACGTCAGAATAAGAAGCAAAGATGGTGTTGGTGCAACTGAAACAGGCAGATCAACAGGCATAGTTGAATCTGTTACTACAAGTGTGGATGGTGATCATGCCCCCATAGAGACCTGGAAAAACCCTTCTGCAGGACTGGAGTAGAGGTCTGGGTTTGACACATTCTGAAAAAACTTAAAGAATATCTCTGAGTACTGACACCACAGAGAGCTTCCAAAGAGCAGGATGACTCTCGCACTGAGATATGCATTCATGTGAAATATTTAAGTCACCACTGGGATCTTTTTAATAATAACTCATAAGATTAAGCTGTCTAACTGGCTGAGAAGGCAAGGAGATGTCTTCTAAATTTACTTCAGAAGACAGTTTCATCTTAGGTTAACAGGACTGCATTTGGTCTCGTCTCCAAGACACATCTGCTTGCTTAAATGAGAAAAAGGCAATTTTTACTCCTGTTATCACTACAGATATGGTTAAGGGAGAAAGAGATGAATTTTATTTCATCTGGCACATCAGCACGTCATGATGCAGGACTATAGTCTCTTACTGGTCACACCGGATACGGAGCTGGATTTTTATGTTCCTGAGTGCTTGCATTGGAAGCTTAAAAATTTCGCTTTAAGTGGATGAATCAGATGCACAAAGAGTGGAAGGCACCTCTGACTTGTTTTACAGTTCTTCAGACTATAATTATGTACTGATAAAATATTTCATGAGTTGTTCTTAAATGATAGCCATTCTGTCTTTGACAGTCATCCTTCCTTTCCCAAAGGTCCAGTGGCTTGTAGCTCAAAAGCCTCATACACCAAAGCCAAGAAAGACATGATTATGCCACTTAACCTTCAGGTTTTACTGGAAACCAGAGGGGTTTTTTTCAGCAAATTGGTACCATGTAGATCTATTTGAATAATCTTGCTGTTCACGAGAACAAGTGCCTTTTGTCCCAGCTGTCTGCTTATGTTTATAAATGCTACATGGTCACCTTTTCCTAAGCCTTTTCTGAGCTGCTAAAATAATAAACCACAAAAAGTATTCATTTTTCTTACCTAGTGGCTGCATTTTATTGCTCTGTCAACTTCAAGAAAAGAATTGTTGTCAGGTAAAGCCTGCAGATGACTTAGGTAGTGATCACCCTTATTTGCTCTAAAGATTTTGTTCATGTCGTTGCTGACCTGAAATAAATTCCCTGGTGTTTTTCATGGAGGATGTGTGAAAGAAAGGAAGGCAGAGGAGAAGCAGGAGAAGGTATTATAGAAATATAACACTTTATAGACAGCTGTGTATCAAAATACATCAAGGGACATGCATTCTTCTAGTGGATATTTTTGATTTGTTAAGTCACTTGACCTCTGTTTGGTCACTTGGCAGAGACCAAATGTATTCATGAAATGATGGCTCCTCTGCACAAATGATTTACAAGCTTCCTTCCTTTCTCTCACCACCTTTCTTGATAGAGGAAAGATTCACAGCACTTAAATAATACCAATTGCTTAGACTTAAACTTTAAGTGTTTCAGTTAGTGACTGCACAAAGCAATCGTGAGAGTGCTATATAACCTGCAGATGTGAGACTTGGGAACTTCATCAAATTAATATAGTTAATAATTCTTACATTTTTTTTCTTTTTGTGAGATTGAGTTATCTTTCAATCCAGCTTAGTAAAATCAATCATTCATGAACTACCTTTTGCGTCTGCAGATTCTTCACACAACAGTTGACCCTTTCAGTTGCCTCCAGTATTTTCTTTTGCAAATGTTTCTCCAGCTGTTGCCCTGATTTACCTACTTTTTAATGGTTTGCTCTCATCTCGGAGTTGAGGCTTATATCACCCCTTTAGAAACCTGACCGTCAATCTAAACTGATGATCTTTCCACTCTCTCCAAAGCAAGTACTATTTAAAAACCCAACATGCCTTAAGTATATGGCCAGACAAATCTTTCTCTCAAGTTCACATTCCTGTTTTCAGGACCTTGTTTTATTTATCCTGGCAAAAATATTTAAAATTAGGTAGAATATGTATGCATCCATAATATCAAGGCTGAAACAAAATTTCCTAAAGATCCTAGGGAGAAAAAAAGGCTTTTCTTAAGGAAAATGTCACTAAACATGGCCATTCTTTTTATACAAGATGAATGTTCTGAAAGTGTTTTGCTCCATTTCTTTCTTACTCCAAATTTTTTCATCATTCTCCAAACAGGTCCAGAAAGTCAAGGTACTTGCCTGAGATTATTTTTCTTGGAACAGTCAATGAAGGGTGCTTCAGACTCAAAAAAATCATGATTAAGAAAATTATTCAGTTGCTCCTTATCTGCGTTGAGTCAGTGTTCTATTAAGCTAGAAAACTTTCCCATAATAGTCTTCCTGTTTCTTATATCTCTGTGGTCTCCAGAAGCACTTAGACTTGGCCTATAGATAGAATTATGAAGGTGTGTGACCTTTGTCCATTTGTCTTTAGTAAGTGGATCATTACCCTAAGATCCAAAAGTAACACTAATCAAGCTCTGTTATGTCCTCCAAAAGAGAATCCTTCAGATGCTTTGCACTCTCCCATAGTTTTTGTTCTTAACCTAATGCCACCATCTACCAGGCCAATGGCAAACGAGACCAGAAGGCAGGAAAACCGAACAGTGTTTCAAGTGTTTGAGTCTCGTGATGACTTCCCACCAAATAGTTTTCTTTTTTAGTTTTTTTAATTTTAATTCCTTCTGCACTGGTGAGCTGATGCTTCCAAAAATACTGAATTACACTGAGATATTTTCCCCATCTGGATGGAGTATGAGCTCTTCCCCTCTTTGAACTCTTCCCCTGCAAACTAATCTGTCAGTGGGACCTGGAAAAGGAGACTTCAGGAAACATTTCACATCCTGAAGGAGATGATAGTTTGAGCATAGTCTGAAGATGTTGGCTATTTCCATGCTGGCTTTCAATGTCTGCTGCAGCGTGTGAAATCATCCAGATAGCAGGATAAGAAAGCAGACTCTGAAGCAGTATTTGGAATGGATATAAATGGGGAAAGACTGCATGTGGTAAGGCCACCTGAAAGAGACCTGAGCCAGCTGAAACACAAGATGGCAAAAGCCCAAGTAAGAGTTTCTGGGAAGTGGAATAGGAAAAACTGTTTCATAGAAGCATTTTGTGGAAAGAATTTTCCAGACATAGGCATGACTTTTTGATGTACGTAAGACATAAATGAGTTGCAGGTCAAAGATAATGTTCAAGTTGGGGCTTAAGGTATGGGTAGAACAGGTCTGTCATCCATGCTGATAGATCAGGAAGCTTTCAAGAAGGGCTTAAACACCAAAGTCCTCAAAAATACAAGACTAAACAAATCCCTGGTATTTCTGCTGGTCCCAGCCTGGGTTATATCAGTTTTGACGTTCAGGGTGGCTTCCTCAAGTGAGCTCAGACATCCTTTGGTCCTTAGGTATCCCAAATGTTACTTCACAGAAACAGCACTTGTTGGCTCTACATCTGATAATCCAGATGTTAGCTAGTAGATTCTGAAGACAAGTGCTCCTCTGCAAAAGTGCAAGTTACTTACTATTCAAAGCATGAGAGCTTCTATGGGACTAACTTATAGATTCAAATGGAAACGATTTTTGCTCTGGGCTGCTTAGTGTGACCTTCAACCCATTGGAGAAATCTATTCCTCCTATCCTGGCTTATTTATTCTTTGTGAAACATTCATGACTTCAAGTTACAGTTAAGATTAGTTTAGCTGCCTGTCATTTTTCTGTTCAAGGTTGGATTATTTCCTTGTATCCAACAGCATGGAGCTTCTTGAAAAGGTGCATTTCCCTCCTCTTCCTCCAGGAAAAACACATGAAACTGATGGTCTGGGATACAGCAGTCCATCCTTTGTGACTCCTTTCTAGTATGTTCACTGTACCTTTTTGTTGTGAAAGTATCTGTTATGCCTTTTAAAAGAGCAAGCAAGATTCACATACTATATAATTCAGACAAGTACAGATATTGTATCACTGATAGCATAACTCTACCACAAGTGGGATCTGGCTTCAGTTTGTATTGGTTTTGCTTGCACCATCCTGTCTTTGCAATATCTATATCTGGAAAGTTAAACTCTGCAAGCTTGTAGTCCTGAGGGCATTCTTCTGCCTGAACAGGTCAACACTTTCACAAGACGTTGAGACTTCTTGTAGCATTTGAGTCTAGATTCTTCTGACCCATAGGCTCTTAAATGGATATGGAATTTCCTTAAGGTGTGCTATAAATTAAGTAAATTAGCACCATATAGCTTTATTAGTGCCTACTCTGTAGCAGTGCAAAGGAACCACTTTGACAGGCATTGTGAGTGTGCATATGTCGGAAGTTTGCAGGACACCACATGGATTTGGGTGCCTGCCTTTTAGCTCTGCACACATAATGTGATGGTCAGTTCAGTGAAGCAATATACTGTATGGTACCCACATGAAACTTCCAGCAGACACACCCTCTAGCCAGTCACTCAGTGTAATCATTGCAGACAAATCTGTAAACAATTTTACATAGCAAGATGATAGAGTTAGGAAAGGACAATTTGGCCACATAGATTCTTGATGCTTCTGCACTGATATGAAATACTAGCTTGGAGATTCTTTCCATTAGCCAAGAGACTTTGGCTCTGAGCCAGTTTCTGTCACGCACCATGTGCAGGATCCCTTGGGATCCATGTAAAACCCAACTGGAGAACCCTGGGACTTCGGGAAGGCAGATGGCCTACTGCTTTCGTGGTCTCTTTTTCTTCCTACTTCATCTACACTTAGGCTCTTTCAGGTCTGAAAATCATGATGTTTCATCTTCACTAACCGTGTCAAAACTCTAACCTGTCTTTACTTAATCTTTTTCTTGGCTCCTGGTACCCACAGCTTATCATGTGTTCCATCTCTCTCTTTTCCAGGCTGTACTACAGTTGCTTCCTCTTGATCTGACCAGCTCATCCATTCACTGACACTAGGCACTAATGTCTAGCCTTTAGGTCTAAGATCCTATTTGTTTTCTTGTTCAGAGCTCTGTCTGTCCTCACCCCTTCTTTCTGACACTCTACATCCAGGCTTCAATTAAAGAATCACAGAAAAGGGCCTTAAATCACAGATTGGAAGGGGCCTTAAAGCTCATCTAATTCCAACCCCTCTGCCATAGGCAGGGACACTTTCCACTAGACCAAGTTGCTCAAAGTCCTGTCCAACCTGGCCTTGAACACTTCCACAGCTTCTCTGGGAAACATGTTTCAATGTCTCACACCCCTCATAGTGAAGATTTTTTTTCGTAATACTTAATATAAATCTACCCTCTTGCTGCTTAAAGCTGTTCCCTTTGTGCCCTTGAAAGCCGTGTCCCTCTGCAGCTTTTCAGGTTCAAACTTAAACAGGGGAAGTTTAGGTTAGATATAAGGAAGAAGTTCTTTACAGTGAGGGTGGTGAGGCACTGGAATGGGTTGTCCAAGGAAGCTGTGAATGCTCCAACCCTGGCGGTGTTCCAGGCCAGGTTGGACAGAGCCATGGGGGACATGGTTTAGTGTGTGGTGTCCCTGCTCATGGCATTGGGGTTGGAACTAGATGATCTTAAGGTCCTTTCCAACTCTAACTAGTCTATGATTCTCTAGGCTTCCTTTAGGTATTTAGGTGTCATGACTGCTTCCAGAGAAGATAAAATATTTAGGAATTTGGGGCAGGCAGTACTATCTATTTTCACCTGGTTGTAATGTACTCAACTTCCAAAGCACAGCTGCACAGTTGAACAAAGTATTATAGCCTTGAGGGTCTATAAGTAGACTTTTACTGTGCCTTGATGCTGAGGGTGCATGTCTTTTCAGGACTGGGTGTTTCAACTAAAAGTGCATCTGGGGAAGGGTCTTTCCTCATTTCTGTGCATTCTGAACTTTGCAAAGGGGCTGTGCAGGCTGGCTGGTATGTAAGTATTAATGTATACTCTTGCTGGTGTGCTGACTTTGAAAGATAAAACTTTTTTTCCCTAGGGCCGATGGGAGAGTCAGCAAGATGTATCCCAAGGTGTCACAAATTCCAGTAGAGGCATTAGTCCATCTCGTACCTCTCTGCCAGGCTCTAGGCAGCAGAACCATTCTCCTGATCCAGGTAAGGGCTTTCCTAAAGCTAAGACAACTTTCCTAAAAATGAAATGAAGTTACCATAGCTCCTGAATGTCAGATAAAGCTGAGCTGCTTTTAGAGATGCAAAGAAATTTCCCAAGCAATGTCTGCAGTTCCCTTTCTGTGAACATTTAGCAGTTGTGGCTAAGCTACTCAGACTCCAGGCAACTCTAACTGGCCTTTCCTTTAAATCTGATACTAGTTCTGCTAAGACTTAAATGCCACATGTTTAAAGTTGTCTGAAAATGCAGTCTTTATCTCAGTAATTCATTTTCTAAAGCCAAAAGCTAGCTGCTCTCAGAATATGCTGTCTGTTACATGAGTAAACCGACAAAGATAGTAAGGCTACAAATGTTTTAGGAAATAAGCAGCACTGGAATTGTATGGGTATTTTGCAGCTGATGTACCTAATATATAACTGAGAGCACAAAGACAGATAGTAGTGATGTTTTGCGTGTCTTCCTAAGTTTTCTCAAGGGGAAGTAGTGTAGGAAAATGGCAGTAAGGGTAAGGAGACTTGAATGCCCCTAACATTTTTTCTTTTTCTTAACTTGGAACTTCTCATCCTTTACTTCTAGTAAGTTTTGTAATTGTTGTTAAAAATGTGTGTTGTATGGACATCCTTTTTCAATTTTGCTTCTTGGTTTGTGGTTTTTGTTTGTTGGGGTTTTTTTGTTTGGGGTTGGTTTGGGTTTTTTTTCCTGCTTCAGCATTGTATAAAGCATTCTAAGTTTCCATTTGCAAACAACAAGCTTTTCGTGCCATGTGATGGGGGAAAAAAAAAAGATGTATGCTGGGGCCACAGATTATGACCTACCGCTTTCAAGGGAGGAGCAAGCACTCAATGCTTTTGCTTGGCTAATGCTTTGACCACTGGCAGATGTCATCTTAGACTAAAATGATAACATTTTGTAATACTTTGTTGGGTGAGTTGGGTTGGGTTTTGTTGTTCAGGGTTTTTTTCCTTTCTCCAAAGCATAACTATTCTCTTTTTTTTTTTTTTTTTTTAATTTTTCCAACAGGTATTGGTAGCCTTGCTGCTTCCTACCTGAATCCTGTAAAGTCCTTTGTGCCTCAGATGCCAAAGCTGCTGAAGTCTCTCTTTCCCGTTAGAGATGAGAAAAAGGGGAGGCAGACCTCTCCCCTTGCACAGCAGGTAAAAAATGAACTCAAATAGGCTATGTTGTTGCAATGCAAACCAAGGTTTGATTATAGTAAAGCCTTGTGAGGCATTTCCCCTCTTCTCTGTCCAGAGATAGTGGAGCTGTTTAAACCTATTGATACACTCAGCCCACTTGGCTTTTTAGAACTGCCAGGTACGCTACCAGCATGATTTATGGCAATACCGCTTGCAGCATCAGTATCATGTAAATTCATGAAGCTCACTTAGTGTTGTTTGAGTATGGCCAAGTGGAAAAAGTAATTCTGTTTTCAATTTATTATTTCATATACCATTCCCTCCCACCCCTCACCCCAGCTCATGTCACCTTTTGCTGTCTTCTGCTCTGTGCTTTGGCCAGTTGTTTTTATTCATTCTCTTACCTATTCCACATGTCAGAGAAGCATTTGATTTTCTTTTTGGTTTTGGGTGCTGTGCTGCAGAACTCCTCCTGCTCTAGATGTGGGTTCTGTGCTCTGAGCAGTAGCTGGTGCGTGGTCAAGCAGACTAGAAAAAGCTACTGTCTTTTAAAGAAAACAAATGAAGTAGACTAACACTTAAATTTTTCTGAAATAACTTACGACAGACATGACACAAATAAAAATCAGGCAGATGGAAAATATTTTTAGTTAGGCTGTGGTTTAATTCTCAACGAAGTAATAAAAGGAGCAGATTTTACTCCTGTATCTTAATCTAATTTATTTGCTTTACATTTTCATGTTGTCTTTTGCTACAGCAGCCTTGGTGTTGAGACTAGAATCATATAAACTTACTCATCTACAAAATTTAGAGATTTAAAATTGAGAGTGGCTTTGTTTAAAGGTATTTGGGTATTGAAAGATGCAAATAGATGCTCTTTACAATTTCAGTGAGAGCCTTTCACAACTTCTTGAATTCTTACTGAATCAATGAGAGCTGAGATTAGAAACAAGGCCTAATTTCCTGCCTCTAGTCTAACCACCTGTTACCACTCCTTCCTACTGTTCAAGATTATTTGTCTTTAAGTCAGTTTTTAAACTGCAAACATCTATTTAAAGATAATTTATATTATAGATTACTATAGGAGCCCAATTAATCAGATCATGATCACAGCACCTTTTAAAAAGAGGGAAATGCTATTTCTTATTTGTTTTTTTTTAAAAAAAAAGCTAATATACAAACAAGAGTGTGTCATGTTTTAATGCTTGGTTGCATTACATTTTTCCATGACCACTGGATCTGTGTAATAAAATGAAATCTTAAAATTATTTCTAACTTCCAGTTTTTTAATAGAACAGGTTCAGTTGTATTACAAATACACCTTGCTGGTTTGAGAGGTTCATAAAGAGTCTTTGTAGCCCTATTAATGAGGAAACAGGGTTTCTTCAATCCTGCTAGCAATTGCAGCTTTCAGAAGAGAGAGCAAAAACTGAAGGAACTGCTACAGAATTAGCGACAGCTTCTTCTGAGCAGCACAAAAATAAATACTTGCTGTTGTAGCAAGACAGGCTTTAAGATCATAAATACCACGTCTTGTAATCTTTCTTGCTGTTTCTTTCTAATGGCCTGACAATGCAAATGTGGCCAGAAGAATTTAAATGGTGGTGGTGATGAATGGCTGTTGTATGTGGTGGGTGATGGGGCTGCTATAGGGGTCACTGTTTGGCAATCAGCTATAACACCTTATCGCTAACCTGCCAGTGCCAGGCAGCAGGCTAGTAATTCTTGCACAATGGTAGTAAACTACACAACAGAGAGGACACAAAAAATAGTTCTGTATTTTCTGAATCTCAGAAAATACAGAACAATGCATCTTAGTTCTTTGGAAGAATAAAACTTCAATACACAGTAGCAGGGAACATAAATGAACGTGCAAGGTGAGAGTAGGTGGTAAACTATGAAAAATACAAGGGGGGAGTGAAGCCAAAAGAATTTTTTGGCTGTAATCGCAAAGAAAACTGACTCCTAATTGGGAACTGATGGACTTTTGTTGCTATATACTTAGGAGAACGAGGTTCAAGAATAGAAATGACAAAAGGAATGCTTTACAAAGCAAATGGAAATTTCCATATTATCTTTTCCTGGCTAAAAACAAATAAGCAGATAAGTGCAACAGTTTTTTAACGCAAATACCAAAAAACTAAGTGGATCAGTTTATTACTTTCTCCTGGTTCTTCAAACAACTACAGTAAAAGAGAGTTCCCAAAGTTCTTGTCAAGCTCACTTTTCAGTGCATATCTGTTACACTATTTGAGAGTGCTTAATTATCTGGCTGAGGCGGGTGGGGCTGTTCAGCCAGATGTGTTCAAGGCCAGGTTGGACAGGGCTTTGAGCAACCTGGTCTAGTGGAAGGTGTCCCTGGCCGTGGCAAAGGATTAGAACTAGATGAGCTTTAAGGTCCTTTCTGACCCAAACTATCCCATGATTCTACGATCTAATGTTATTAAAACCTGTTCTGGAAAAATGCTGGTGAACTATCTTGAACTAGATGGTTGGTCAAGCTGTTGTGTTAAATTTTTGATTGTTATAGTTAAATTATCAGAGTTAGATGGCTGTACATCCCTACAGAAAGCATCAGATTTGTTTTGTTACTCCTTGTAAGCAGGATTGTACAGCTAAGTTGATTTTAGCACTTTTAAGCATAGTTTCTGAGGGAGCAGTACTTTTTTCCAAGCTTGTAACTGAAGTTCATTGTGACCAAGCAGCTCTCCGAGTGGATGTGTTACCGAATTTCGGTGTGAGTGAAGAGAAGCTGGAGTTCTGATCAGTTGTTCTGAAAACACCTTTTTGATTTAAGCAGCTTTTATTTCAGTCGGATGCTGTTGCTTAGGCTGGCATCAACCTTAAAGCAAGAGAACACATGCAAAAGTTATCTTAAAATGTCTTTCCCGGTCATGTTTGTGTTTGTAGTCAATGGTTGCCTGAGTTTCAAAAATGCAAAGACATTTCAGTCAAGGTGGTGGCAGCTAACAAAATTGCTGTCTTTGACCTTCTGATGCAAGTTTAGTAACTAATCTGGAGAATAATGAACCGCAATTAATGAAATCTGCTCTCGTATTCAAGTGTGTTTCTCAGACAGCACATAAAATAATTGAAAGAACTTCCTGCTCTCTAATTAGTTAGATTGAATTAATTTGGCATAATAGGATTCTTTATGTAACTAGCAGAACGGCTTCCGATGAAGCTGTTTATGTACCTAAAAGATTGGTTTCTGATGAAGCTGTTTATATACTTTTAAGTTAGAAAAGGCCTATTTTCTCCAGTGTCTGATGCCTATAAATTAATTGCCAGTAGACTGTAAATAAAAAAGCCAATAATTTAAACCTTTCTGGACTGTAGGAATTGCTTTCTATTTACCTAGTCTATTCTTTAAAAAGCTTAGTACTGCAGTGTGCAAGATTTAACGCCTTGCCAACCCTTATTGCTGATGGGGAAAAGTTTAAAAATCTTGTGTAAAACATGCAGGTGGAAGAAGAATCAGAGTTTCATCTATCTGTGCTTAATTATATTATGTACATGCTCTTAAAGTTTGTCTTATTTATTAACATCCTTTCATAGTGTGCACCAAGCAGAATTACTGTTCTTTACCTTATGACCCTGCTGATCTCCAGGAACTGCTTGTTGTAATTACATTTAAGAGCATTGTTGGGTGCTGACATTAAAAATGTACATATTAAATTTCAGTTTCTGGGGTTTTTTGATGTTGCTGTGGCAGAAGCAAATTCCTCTGACCAATTTCATAAGTAGATTTTGGTCACCTTCGTACTTGAGGACCTTGTTGGGTGCTCAAATGTATTTTTTAGCACATGGCTTGAATGAGACATCTTGAGTCACAGCTATCTTAGAAAAATAATAAACTCTCTGATTTTCCATGTCCTAATGTAATTCATTTTGTTTGTGGTATGAAAATGCAGATATTTGACACACCGAGAGGGCAGCTGTCAGTTTTTTCTCTTTCACCTTCTGATGCAGATGCAGTAATTAATCTTAAAAAATAATGAAATGCAGCTAATGATAAATTATCTAAATAGACAAAAGCCTTTTTCTGGCACTGCATTAAAAAATAACAGTTTCATGGATGTGCATGGTGCATAGTATAATTGCTAGAACTGACATTCCTTAATCAAATGTAAATAATGTGGCCTCAGAGAACTATCTTCAAAATCTCGGAGGCTTTTTTCGGTGTTTTGAATAAAGAAACATTTGAATGCTGTAATCAGCATAGCTCAACAGATCCTCTGTGGCCAGCTGAGCTCCTATGTGTCTGGTTCTTCTGGCTGAGTTGTTAGTTTTTTCATTTCTTTCCAAGTTCAGTTTTCACTATCATCCTCATACAAATAGTTTTTAATGAGAATGAGTATGGAAAAATGGCTTTTAAAGTTCTTGGAGCAAACCACTGAAGCTTCTTTAGGAACTAACTTGAAAATGGTTATAAATTATCCTCTTAATCTGTACAGAACTAGGAATGAAATAATTTAGCTGCATAGAAAACTCTATGGTTACTTTTGCATAAAGTATATTAGAAATGTGGAATTCAAAAGTGCTATTAAGGCCTAAAATGTTCCACATATGGAAGGTGGAATAAGAGGGTTTTGTTTGGGTTACAATTTAAATGAAGAGTTTCTTTAGAGAAGAAAACAAATGCCAAACATACAACATACAAGGTTTCAAATCTCCTTCTGAAATGCAGGAGGGTTTATATTTGAATGATTAATTACATTTAAATTATTTTAAAATTGAGGTCAGAGAGGAATATTGGGGGGGGGGGGGAGCTTTTAAAAATTGATTCAACTTGTTTTGACTGTATACTAGGGGATTCAGAATTCTTAGTGCATTGCTCTATGTCTTGTGAAACTATTTCATCCTGGGTGCTCAAAACTGATTTAAATCTACATTTAATGAAGCAACTGTTATGCCCTGCTGCTGTTTCCAATAGCTGCTTTTAAATGATGATGTGAACATAATACTGTCAGTGTGACAGTCCTTGAGCTCAGTGATTCCTATCTGCAGATGGTAAAGCATAGACAAGAGCAGTGGAAGTTTTCTGATAATGCCCTTTTAGGATTGCATCAGCTATAACCTTGGCTAGACCGTTTCTGGAGCTTGGAGGATGATTCTGGTACACACTCACCCAGTCTGTTCTGTTATCTGCCACTGAACTTTCTGCATATTGGGTGTTAACACTGAAGAATTTTCATCCAGTGACATGAAATCAAAAGGCTTTGTATTGAAGTCATCAGTCACTATTGTCAGAGGCATTTTACAAAATGTTTAATGTCATAGAAATACCAAATGTGTTTTTCTGAGCACATTGGAGATGTTGCCATTATATATGTAATATATGGTATGAAAAAGAGTTCATTTAGGATTAATTTCAATGCTTCTCTAAGTGGGGTGAGATTCACATTTGCTTTTCCTGTTCATGCTCACCACTGTACCAGGTTGGTCTCCAGATTACATTAATCACTAGTAACAACATGGCTTTTGGTCACCTCAGAGTATGTGCAAACTGACCTCTTACCTGACCGGAAAATACGCGCTCTTAGATATCCTTATAAACTCACTGCACAGAGTAGCAGCTCTCAGGAAGAAGACAGTTTTTTGTTCTACAATGATTCAAAGGTGCTTTAAAGTGAATTCCTTTCATGTTCTCTCTTAGTCTGTATTTTGTCAGCTTGGTTGAAGACATTGTGCCAAAAATTATCACTGTAAAAGGATCATGTTTTGCCGGTGGGTAAATATATATGTCTAGTTCAGCAGTCGCTATCTGCAAATGTTTAATGATAGAATTTGGCTCTCAAATCAGAAATACTTTTCATCCAGTAATGTCTTCATAGATAGTCAAACACAGTATTTTTAGTATCCCACCCAAGTAACTTGACTGCATTTCATAACACAGATTCAGTTTAGTACCCTTGCACCCCAGTGAGGGTGTTTCTGCCCATCTGTTTCTTGTCAACACAAACATTGGGCAAGTGCCACTTCTCATAATTGCTTTTTTCTGCATGTTTTTCTAAACATTGCTTGGCAGAGTTATTGTAGTTTTGAGATTTGTCATCCTTTCAGGAGGAGAACTTGATGAGGCATGATTAAAGTGTAATGGTTTTCTTTCATTTGCTATTTGATATCAACCAGAGTTTTAGGTTTTGTGGATTTACAAGCTGTAAGACTGAAGGTTTTTGAGAGATAAAACCCCCAAACACTCTTCTCTGTTTATTTGTTTTAAAGGGAGAAAAATAAATCAAAGGAACTGAGAAGTATCTTTAAACACTTTTTCTTACTTCAATTCCGCATACTTATCTCTGGATAATAATGCTAGACCTCAAAGCGCTTCCCAGCCAAGGCATGTATACTAGGAGAAAATGGGGCAAAAAGCTCAAGTTGTGTTGTGGTGCCGGTGAGCACTGGAGCTAGTTCTAGGTTGTGATGCAAGCTCTGCTAAAAAACACAGTTTCCCCTGCTCCAACATATCACAACAGAAGTGTGGAAGCAACAAGAACAGTGTTTCCTTTGCGCAACCTTTCTGAGATGCCAGAATGCTTTTAGCATTGGACCACGGAGATAGTTAACTAGGATAATTTGAATTCAAGAGCCTTGGCTTCTCAGTGAGGTTCAGCTGCACCTCTGCAACAGGTTTGAAGTGCTCTGTAAGTGCCTGCCTAGGGATTAGCCCTAAAGTTTTGTGACTGTTTTGTTTTTTTTTAAAAAGGTGATACTTAATAGCACGCCCAGGATGGACCAACCCATGGTTCTAAGATGGTTAAAGAGGAGACAATAAGTGTTCTGGCAAATACTCTGCTCCCTTTAACACTGTGAGAAGTGTCTATTAAACTTAAAATTTGCAGGACTTTCTCACAAGAAAGTTAATCCTTCTCTTCTCTAGTCTTCATTAAAGTGAAACTGTTGTGACAGTCAAGTTATCCTTGCATATCAGAGTTAATGCTTAGGATGAGTCAGACTACTCGCTCACCTCATTGCTCTTAGCTATCTCTGGACTCTGTCACAAGTCAGAGTTGTTTTCAGTTTAATACTTTTGTCTTAGATTGCCAGTTCATTCCAAAGGAAGCTGAAGTTCTGGAGTACAAGGTGTCTGAAAACCACTGGATCATGAACCCTAAAGCTGTGTTTGTGTTTAGGCTTCACTGATTTGTTCTGATTCAGGTCACCGTCTGTTCCTAGAGCGCCAGCACATGTCCTAGTAAGGATCTTGAAGCACTAATGCCTTGTGCACCCAAAATAGAGCCAGTTTGCTCTGAACCCCATTTCAGTGGTGTACTTTCAATCAGCAGATTTAATGACAAGCAAACACCACTACCACCCTGCTTTCTTTTATTGAACTGAGCTTTAACATCTTAAAATTATTTTGATCCACTGTGAACCTGTTGGAGTTTTTTGTCTGTCTTTTGTCTTTTTATTTTTTACCTTGAACAACCATGTTTTTAATTAATGCCTTGCAATCTCTGTATAAATAACAACTGTTCTTTTCTCCTATGTTTATTTCTTTTGGGGACAGGGTTAGTCAAATTCCTGCTTTACTGTACTTAGAAGGGATGCAAGAGAACAGTTACTTTACTCCAGCTGGAAAGCTTCAGTTCTTTAAACAGATTGTTGAATTCTGGAAATAGCTGTCTCAGAGATGAACACTGCCTGTATATTTCTATAGAAGGAGTTCTCAAGTCCCTTGGAGAAAAAAGAAAAAAGGCAGTCTGCTCCCAAATCATATAATGTGTCACCCTTAAGGAGCTTTTTCTCTCAAAGTATGAATCTGCACTTGCACTATGTTATTTAACAGTACTGAAGAGAGATGTTTCTGCCTTTATCTCCTCTCTCTTTTAGTTCATGCTTCCCTTTTCCAAGGTTCTCCACTGAACTGGAGTTCCCTTTCTGTCCTGTCTCAACAGTGTGTGATAGCCCAAGCCTAAGATGTATAGTCAAGTATCATAGTTTGCTGAGTGATTATTTCAAATCTTAAAGCATAAAAACCTGAATATGGAGCAAGCGAGGGACGTTTATTGTCCATACTTTCATATCAAGCCCCATGCCGTAAGAGAGAAGATACTGTTGAAACACAGAAGTGGTTCTTCTGGCACAGCACCAGATTGTCGTGATTAGCAAATGGCACGTGTAGACTTCACTCTAGAAGGAATTGGTAATGCCCTCTTTTAAAAGAAGATACACAGATCTTGTTTCTGGCTTCCTTTTTGAGTTAAAGCAAACAGTGCTAAAATCTAAATTGAATTGAGATACTGGAGATGGGGAAAGAGCTTCAGAGATGGACTGAAGCTCAGGATTTCACTTGCCAGGCCAGCATGACCTCAGATCTCTCTGTCATCTATTTATTTGCTCAGTGGTCTGTCTTTGACTGACTGCATAAAAGAAAACTTCCTACACTATGAATTTGTACTTGTAGCTGTGCTTATAAGTTAAAATTCCAGGAGGCCTTGGTTACGTTTTTACCCTTTCAGAGCACGTTATCAGAATGTAATAAAATAGCAATGCTCCATCCTTTCGTGACAGAGGTTTGTTTGTGATTCCAAAATTTCAAATACAAGTTTTAATGTTTACCAGTGTGACAGTATTTAATCCTTTAAGTGAACGATGCTCTTTTTATTGATCCCTGCAGGCTGTCCCACGAATTATGGTTCAGTCTGCCAGTACTGCAAGGATAAAACAGGTAAGCACATCCCAGGATATGATGATACAGTTTTCATATTCCCATGCCTGGAAACCAGAGGTGGCAGAAGCAACTGCTGGCTTAGCTATTTAAAACCTGTTGCACTTTTTTTGTTGAGACAATTAAATGCAATGTGTGTTGCTGTGTTTTCTTAGGTCCTGGTAAAAGCTCCCCTTATCACCAGTTACACTTTGTATTTGAAAAGCTAGTATATGATTGCATTAGCAGCTAACTAGCTTAAATTTAGCTGGTTTGCTGCATTAAAAGGCAAATTGCTGGGTTCTGATGCTTTCTTTAGACAGAATGTGTCTGTTATTCTGAGTGTTGAGCTTAATTCTCATTCTTCATTTCAAGCCAATTCATGATATTGACTTGAAAAAAAGGCTCTCACTAAGCTAGAGAGAAAATAGACGCTATGATCTCCCACAGTTCAGCAGAACTTCAGTCTTATGAATAGCAAATCATCTTTCTCCCACTTGTGCTTTTATTGTCTTAGCAAAACGTGTGTTATCTGAGCACTTAAAAGGGAAAACCCAAAGACCAGGCACAGCTCCAGAGTCCATGTGTACACCATCCTCTCCACAGAAAAGCTAAAAATATGTCTTTAATCCACAGGAATATTTAATAAAACTTTTCTGTATTACATTTAGCAATAGCAGGATAGCCTTTGGTTCTGAAATTCCTGTAATTCAGTCAAATCTCTCTTTCTTGAAATTCCACTTGCACTTCCAGTGGAAAAGGCACTTCAGAATAAGGTGAAAATACTGTAGTTTGGGAGACTTAATCACTATATAGTTTAAACTGCAAGGTTTTGAACAGTAAACAAAAATGTACACTTTAGAGTTAAGATATGTACAAATCTGCCATCCTCCAACCACTGTTTCTTTTCCCTTCATATTAGCAGCTTCCTTCCTCCCTCCCAAAGAGATTTAGAGACATCCTAATCTTTTAGAGTACATGCGCTGGCAAAAGATATTGATCTATCAGATTTAGTAAACTTTACAGCCAAGAAATACATCACTAAAATGGGCTGTTAATCTCATGAGGTGCAGTTAATTTCATACTCTGCAAGTGTGTGGTGCTGGCAGCATTGAGGTGGGAATGGCATTTGGAAACAGGGATATAAATGACAGTTTAGTTGGAGAGGCATGATTTATCAATCCTGAGAGTTAAGCCAAATAACTGAGAGACTTATAGATCATGGCTGTTTCACATTTCCTATAAATCCTGCTATTCAAACAGCAAATGACCATTCCTGCAATATAAACAATTTTTCAGTAAATATTGGGGGATGTATTTCTTTAGGTTGACACTTTTCTTATTAATGGAAGAAATGAGCTGACAATCCTACCAGGTTTGCAAAGCTGACTTCGGATCAGCTTGCATCTTTTGGAGATTGCAGCTACATAGGGATTTAGATAAGCCAAAGGCCTTAGAACTTCTCAAAGGCCTTGTATCTATCCTTTTAGCTCAGATATTTTGGATAACAGGTCCCTATCCTTCTCTGTTTCAGATTAACCAAGAGGAAATAGGGAAACAGCCATTTGAAACTGTGGTGCAGATGTCTGAGGTGGACAAGAGTCCAGAAAAGACACCCAAAGTGCCTTTGCAGCAACCTTCAGGAGACACCCAGGTGCAGGACTCCCAGGAGGGACCTCCAAGTCCTCTGAGTGAAGCCTCGAGTGGATACTTCTCTCATAGTGTCTCAACAGCCACCCTCTCTGAGGCCCTTGCAGCAGGAAGTGATGCTGTGGCTCAACCAGGAAGTCAGACACCTGCAGCTAGTGACTCCTCAGCTCCTGCTGTGTCTCAGGTACCTTCTTCTGACATGCCAGGGCACTCAGATGGTTCATCAGAAAGCTGTCTCAGTACTAAGAGAGAGAAACTACCTGCCTTCAGCCTTCAAAGCACTCATGCAAGACCTAAAGACAGCACTGAAGTAAATGGAAATGATGCTTTGAAATCCAAATCTTGCATATCTCCTGTGACTCAAAGCGAGCAGGGAAATGATGCCTCTGTAGCCACTGACGCAAAAACCTTTCTTTCTACCTCCACTCCAGAGAAGGAGGTGTTATCCAAACAATCAGTGGAGTCAGGACAAGCTAGGAAAAAGGAAATGGCTTCTGGTTCTTCAGAACTGGGGTCTCCCAAACCACAGATTCATCCTGAACAATTGTCCCAGCCTGGTGTTGCAGCCTCCCCCTTCAAAATCCAGAAAGTCAAGACATCAGAACTGAAGTCCTTTACAAGCATGCTGGGGACAGACCCCATGTGTTCACTAAACATAGAAGAGCAGCAAGAAGGAGAAAAGAGCACATCCACCACCCGTGGACTGAACCATGATGGATCAGAGACAGCAGAAGAAAAGCTGGAGGTGGCTTCTGACTCTGAAGATGCCAATGAAATTCCCGAGTGGTTGAAAGAGGGGGAATATGTCACAGTTGGTGCAAATAAGATGGGCACCGTTAGGTATATTGGGCCCACAGACTTTCAAGAGGGAACATGGGTTGGTGTCGAACTGGATCTACCTTCAGGTAAAATATGCAGACAGCATGTCAGGATTTGCAGTGTTCAGTTTCGTGACACTTTCTGATGAGGGGGGAGTTCATTAGCTGTTACTGGGTGCATTTTGAGATGGGGAATATCTTTCCCTGCTGTCATCCTTTTCCAGTCTGCCTTTGTAAATCTAGTCTCACTGACCTCTCACTGAATTGTCCCTTTTCAGTTACTTCATTGGCTTCTTACAGTGGAGGTAGGAATCAGGATTGCTTTTACAGTGCAGGTCAGTAAGTAAATAGTTGCAGAAGACAGGCCTTGTGTCCAAGGGGTTCTCTTCTGGGCTTCTGCTCTGTGGATAAGGGTGTCCAAAGCACAACAGGAGCTGTGGGATTCAAACAACCAAAGGAACATAAAAGCTTAATAAGTTGCAGAGTCTCCTAACAGATTGCCTAGTCTCTCACAAGCTGTTTTAAAATAAGCTGTTAAATGGCAGAAGACTCTGTGTGTGTGTGTGTATATATGTTTTTGTGTGTATATATATATATATGTACTCCTATATGTGTGAAAACCAGTAGGTAATAATCATACATTGACCACCAGGACATAGAGATGATTTGAAGTTTCTTTCAGCTTCTCATTTGTCATTCCTGTCTGACTCTTACCTGTACAGCTGTAGACTTCACAGAATTTAGGCTCTAACACATACTTTTTGGAAATAAGGGTGCTGTTGCTGGGGAGGCTCTGTTCATATGTGCTGCTGCAGGATGATGTGGAAAACTTAGTGACTTTTGAACAAGATGAAAGAAAGATGATGACTGGCATTTGTTCTCTGCTGCAGCCCCTGGCTTTGTAACTTCTTTCCTTTGCAAGTTCATGTCTTCTTTCAAAGGACTCGTTTTCTCTAAGAGGAGGCAGGACTGGGGGAAGGCAGGGCATGCCAGTGGAAAATTCAAGAGACAAGCAGTAGATACCACTGCCTTTGATAGTGAAAGGGTTTGGTTTACCAAGGGCACATAAAGCTCCTTATTTAAATCCTTTTAACCAAGCTGTAGCATTCCAAGTCTGCAGTGCAGGCTCTGTTTGGTGAATCAGCACGTCCCAGGGAGTTGCCTACACTCATCTTAGCTGCACACTTCCTGGGATGGAAGCTGTTCACCAAGATAAATACTGTGTCAAGGATCCAGAGCTCCCATTAAGTGAGCAGTTATCTTCTCTGTGCCTGGTGTGCTCATAAAAGCTAAAATGGAAGGTGTGTTTTCAGCTGGTTTCAGAAAACTCTGGAGTTTGCCATTCTGGAAAGTAAACTGTAGCTCTAATCCCTTTGAAAGTTGTAAACCAATTCTCAGTCCTGGATTCATAGCTTATTTAAAAATACATATAT